TCTAAGAAACGGTTTGTTCTCGCTTCAAACAAAAGGCTTTTTTTCGTATTATTATGAATAATTTTATGTAATAATTTTTGTTATTATTATTGTTGAAATCTTGTTGTGAAAATGTAAAACACAACACACAACAACTAAACATATATACTTTTTATTCAACATTTTTTTTTTTGTATTGTATAAATTACTCGTTTCCTTCGTGTAATCAATAGCAGCGCATGCAAAGATTGACTTATATAGTTATATACAAATGCATAAAAAAACTTATAAAAGTCGTCAACCTTCATGCGAGATGTTAACATGTATGTGGTTTTATTAAAGTCTACACCCACCCATGTTCATATCTATATTTATTTTTTGCTATATAATTTCCCTGCTTTTTATTACTTATAAGAAACAATTTTATAAATCAAAAAAAAAGAAAAGAAAAAAACAAAATCGCAAAAATAATTGTATTATTCAGATGTCGATGCAAACAAATAACAGAAAAAAAATTATCATTTTGAAAAAAAAAAAAAAAAGAAGGACTCGAAGGGTAATCGTTTGTAAATAAGTAACGAACGATGATCAGATTTATTGCCCGCAAGTAAAAAGAGTTTGATATAAATAGCATCACGATCTAAATTATTTTCCCGCGCAAGCTGTAGTTGTTACAATTCTTACAAAAATTAAATTAACTAGATATGTATATATATGTACATATATATATATATATATATTTTTTTTTTTTTTTGATATGCTAATACTGATAGAGACCAACAGCGACACAACAGATATAAAGTTATAAAAAAGTTACTTTTTTCTAATAAGGTAGTGAAGCGTGAAGATAGATACCTTAGTTTACTTACCACATTTTGCAAAAATAGTTTTTATTGTTACAAATGGAACGATCTTATTGTTACACCATTTCATGGTGAAGATTAAGAGGTGCAGTCTTATTAAGTACCTTTCTCTTTATAATGGGGTAAACGTCACCCTTAAAAAGTCGTCAAACGTTTCCAACTGACAATCATTCATTCAACCATCTATCAAAGCTATCAAATCTCTGGTTGTCTGCGCCGTATTGTCTGTTTTTGCAATTTTTATATGGTTGTAGGTTATGCTTAACTGAGAATCATCTCCACACAACAATACACACACACAGACACAATGTTTCTCTATATCAGTTATTATGTGCACATTGGACATTCAATATAAGAAAGTCTGCATCATCTGTAAAATAACAACAACAAAAATTCTTAAGTTTTATTTTTTATTTGCCTTGTTCTCTCTGCCCATAAGATCCAGCCAAGTGTGTTAAGTTAACCAGCAACGATAACATTATGGTTTGCATTTGTATGTATCGGTATTGTAGGCTGTAGTTAGAGTTGTTGCCTTTGGTTTCTTTCAAGTAATTTAAAATTCAAGAAGTCTTCATCACGAAATCAACCTTTTTATAAACACATATATATGAGCTCTTATATGGACTTATCTTGAGAATTCTTTAAAAAAAAAAAGAAAAAAAATTAAAAAAAACATGCACACAGGCAGTGAACCTTAAACTTGACTTTTAAATAATTTTCAATTATATTTACTATATGCACAGTGGTTATTATTGTTGCTGCTATTGTACGTAAGGGTAATGTTAATGTAATTGCTAATAAATAGTCAAATTACTTATCTCATTGTTGTTACGGCTACAAGTTCAAGTTTATTGTTTAAGCTTCGCTCTTCGCAATCGAAAGAACAAGAATTAGTCTACAAAATATTTTATTGCATTTTCCCAACATAGTAGCTCTTAAAGAGTTCCTATGACCTATTAAACACATAATTAAACCTTAGCTCGAAATAGCCAAGAATCGCGACTACCAAGTCAGTGTTCGCGGGTTCAAATCTCAGCGTAGTAGAGTTGGTTTATTCGTAAACGTAGTCAGTGTTCAGCCGGTAAAGGCATAACACTTATCGTTTGTTCACACAACCACTAGGCTGCGGTCATCGCCTCCTTACTTCTACTTCTTTCTCTCTTTCTTCTCTTTGAGTGATTGAATATTCAAAAAAAAAAAAAAACGAAAGCTGCGCTTCTGCTTTCTACCTTATGCTATAATTGTGTGCTATCCTCACCCTCCCAGATGCCGGTTTTGGCAGATTTAGGAAAGGGACGACTAAGCCGTCCTTCGATATTGTGTGCCAATGACCGAACAGCTGTCGTATCAGACACCAGCTGTTTTTCGAATATTTCATAACGTCTGACACACCACGTGTCTTCTTATCAAACGAGCGGATTTGCAAGATTTCCCAAATTAGCGGTGTAGGAGCTTGAGCGAATGCTACAGTTCTTGTCGATCGCGGTGTATGTGGCCCAATATAATAATAATTATAATAATAGTAATCCTCACCGCTTGAAGCTAAACACTTCTTCATATATCCTAAAGGTCTTACCGCAATGCATAAACGAATACATGCAAGTCAAGTGAATGTTAAGACTCCCCTCATATGTACGCGAGCTTTCTTCGATACTCAAATTCACAACCATTAAGTGATGACTAAACCAGGCCTGACTTAATGCAAAGCCTTCTACTTTATACTCTTTAACCTTTTTTGTAATATTTGATAGACATTTCTCTACCTTTTTTTTTTTTTTTGTTACGTTCAATTTATTTTATTAATACTTGCCTGACCCGAGACGATGAAAATTGTCTTAAGATATTTTATCATCACTAGAAACAAAATCCTCTATATACAGCGGCAAAGTTAAGAAAAATGACTTCTTTGCTTACAAAAAAAAAAAAAAAAAAAAAAAACAGATTTTACATGCAAAATCAAAGAAAAGAGGTCAAACGGCTAGACATAACAACATCAAACACAACAACAATACCAAATGCAATGTGATTTACATTTTTAAACAACAGCAACTACAACTCTCCCCCATGTTATATAGGAAAGATAGTCATAAGATATACATGCACCGACAATCACTCTTTCATACGAGAACATTGACGCTTTTTATAAGCGTGAGAAACGTTGGTATTCATTCACTGACAAAGCATCAGTTAACACTCTGATGAAAAATAGGATTTTTAACTTTAATTTTTCTCTTTTTGTAACAAACAAAAGTAAACGTGCGTTGCCCAAAGGGTTGGGATATTATAATTTATGTCTATACATAGAAGAATGGGGGCCAAAATAAGTTCAATTCATATCAGCGCAATAACAAAAGCTAAGAGGAAACGGTATAATACAATTGTCATTGTGAAAAAAAGGCTAAATTTGAATATTTTTAAGAAAACTTATTCATTATCTATTGTTGAGAACAGAAATCACTTAAAAAAATCTGTACCATAGGTGAGTCATTTTCCATATTATTGAAGTTTGCAAAACGAGGCTAAATGCAAAAACAATAATTTCGTTCAATAAATTTGGTTGTTATTATTTTTTTACTTGTTAGCCGGTTATATAAGCAATTTGACCATAAACTTTATAGTTATAACATGATATGCTTGAGTAATGGCCTCAAAAATTCATTTTGTTTTCTTTTCTTTTTTTTTTTTCAATTTTTACAAGTACTTTGTTAAAAATATTATCATATGCGAAGAAAATTTTCGTAAATAAGAAAATTAAAGGCCTTCACCAATTTATCAATATTTTGTGAGTAAGATGAGGTGAGAAGAAATAGGTTGGAACGATCTATGGAAAAATTTAATCAAAATTATCTGTATATCATTCCTAGATTTTTATTTAATATTTTTGCTTGTACCGTAACTTGAAAAGCTTTAAAAGTAAAAAAATTGACCAACAGCTTAAGCCTACTGCAAAGCAAGCAGTAATAGTAAATAGTAGCCAGCAGTTGCTCAATAACTATTATGTTTTTATACAACTTACTCGTTACTTAATTGATTGTAAATTCGTAAGTAATGCAATTGCAACTTAATTGATCAATGTTTCATTCGTGTTTTAGATTAGCTAAGGCATTTGGCTGAAAGCACTGCTGTTTAAATTGCGTTTAAAAAAAACTTTCATTTTTTTTATCTTTACTTTAACTCTTCCACTGTAACTATATTAATTAAGAGAATAGTACTTAGTTGCCACCCTGAACTTCTCCTATACTTTTAGTAAATAAATTTTGCATATACCCAGTCCTAATGTACAAGTGCAATATGTATTTAAATGTAATTAGTTAGAAAGTATCATTAAATGGACTTCAGTTAGTTCGTCTTCGGTCAGTCTCAAAGGAAAAACTTTTGTTTACCTATTTCTACGAGAAGTTAGAAATATAAGAATTAATTGCAAGTTTTTAAATACTCTTAGGCAAGTCTTTAAAAGGGAAAGCCTATGAGTAACATACACTCTCCCATCACATTTCAAGTACGTATTCAAGTTTCTCTCTTATAGGAGAAATAATCAGAGTATTAAGGATTAGCTTTTCGAATTTTAGGCCATAGAAACAAACGGACTCGTTTCTTTACGTTTACCCAAAGAAATTTCAATAACAATTTAAGAAATGTTGTTTTTGCGTAATTAAAAGATCGATTGAACAACGTCATAGGCCCAATCAACAGTTGTTTCGAACTTCAACTCGCATATAACGGTTGTGTTAAATTGGTTCTAAAATTTTTCTTACCAGTACCGATGTGGAAGCTCAACTCTATCAACGATCAACGGCTTAATAGTAAGTCGTTTGTTTTAAACTTGTACAAAGACTTTTCTTAAAGTAGACTTTTAACCACCGACGAGTCAAAAACACTAAGCAATTCGGGAATTCGATTTTTGAATCTTAGTTTTGAATGTAAGAACCATAACGACCCCAAATAAATCATATAAACGAATTGTTAGACATTGTTCTCCATAATAATACGAAACATCTTTAAATGCGGCGATCACTTAAAAATAATCCATAATAGAGTTTTCACAAATTATTCCAGCTAACATTTTCATTAGAACTTTTTTAAGGAATACTTCCGTTTATTTCATTTTCTTTTCGTCGTTCACTTTCATTTTCTCAATTTTGCTCTCTTCTATCGCAGATATCTGATTCGAAAAATATTTCACAACCGAATGGCACCCAACATATTCAACGAAAACAATTAGAAGTCTTACAGGCCTGTACAGAGCATGGAACCATGCAAGTAATACGCGCACAAACGGTACAAGCCACCTCATCGCGTTGGTCAATATCATCAGCATCACCCGTATTAGCTTTATCACCAACTTCATCAATTACAGCAACAAGCACAAAAACAACAACAACAACAACAACACCACCACAATTACAGAAAACAGTCAAACAATACTTAAAAAACAAAAACAACAGCAATAAAAAACCGGTACACAATCACAGTAGCACAACATCATCAAATGCCATCATCATCACTACGTCTTGCTCCTCCAATTCCTCAGCATCGTCTTCCATTTCTTCTTCACCGTTAACTAATGGTTACTATCGCGATCATCGTAATGAACGTGAAGATTATCTGCCCACTGCTATTGATAAACATTGGCCACAACAATTAACGGATAAAATGTCCAACCTGCATATGGACAACGAACAGCAACAGCATCGTCATTATAATCATGATGATTATCATTGCAATGGTGATGTTAGCGACCATGACAATGATATGTTGCTATTAGACGCTGATAATCCATATTTGGTTAGTAATGACCATAAACAAAACAAGATCAATACACCAGTTTACCATCGCCAATCTAACAACAAGTTTATGGATAATAATTGCGTTGATAGTAAAACTAGTCTGATGATGACAAAAAAACGTCATCATACAAATGCGTTGCATTGCAACGGGGATAGTGGTAGTAATTGTTTTAAGACCGACAATAGCAACGATGGTGATAATAATGGCGGTGGTAATAATCAATTTCGTTTAGATACGGCGCCAAGTTTAAAGTTAAGTAATTTAATGGTAAGTAAGCCAGAGGATGTCGGTGATTTTTTACTACGTACGACAACAACAAGTAAACATACTAAACTTATTAAGAAAAAGGAAAAGCAATTGCTTATGTATGGGAAAGTATGCGAAAAAATTGAACGAGTTTAAGACGTTTAACGTACGAGTTAATGTTAAACAACAAACAGTTAGATGAATTGAAAATTTATGAGTAGAATTACCGTGAGACTAAGAAAAGTTAAGTATGCTTTACCTCGACGCTCATACGGCGAAAGCTGTCCTTAGCAGTTAGTGCATCATCTATCAGTGTACACGAGCTAAATAGAATAATTAAATATATGATTTGAATATCCTGTAGAGTCTGGATATTTTATACACTTTTGTAAGTTCTTAGAAACGTATCACTAGCATAAGCAGCATGCTTGAGACTGTTTATGAAAAATTTACTTTTTACAGAACTTTTAGAACAAATAGAAGGTATGAATGAATAGAAGATTCGTAGTAAATAGTATAGACGGAGCATATCATCTGAGTTCGAGCTTTTTCAGAGAAAGTAAGCAGAAAAATATCGTGTCTTTGATATCGTATTGTCTCCGTTTTCCTACGAGTGTAAAATAATGAAGATCTAACTGTTTTCTTTTAACGGTGAACTTTAAAATGCGTGTTGTTCAGCTTTTAAAAGGTAATCCGAATTCAATTTGAAATCACAATGTAATCAGATTCCATTTTTACAGTTTATACGGAGCAGTAATAAAAGTCGTTGAAAAGATGGCGTTAAAAGTCAATTTCATTTCTAGATTATTTAGAAACTTCGTAGTCGAACAAGGAAACAATATAAATTTGATAAGATTGCTAGTATGTGCGAACACATGGAAGTCATGTGTCATGTCGTGTGTAAACTAGCTCAATAAAGTCTACGTACACTACGAAAGAACCTTTTTTCTCTTTTTAAAAACTGCATTTCTAGTCCGGGGGTCACGAAATATAATTCTTAAGAAAGAAAAAATTATACCGAATAAGAATTAAAGAATTTTTTTGACGTAAGATACAATGATAAAGGAAATATTTACTTGAATCCCAAAAAATTGCACAAAAAAGTGTACATACAGCGAAAACCCATTGCTAGAAAGTTCGAAAACGAAACATGTTTAGTTAACGGCACTTACAAAAGGAACTATAAAGGGGGGAAAAATTGTTGGGAGAAATAGCTAAAACAATTGCTTTAGTTATGCTACATTTCATGCTGTTACAAAATATTACAATAACACAAATACCACAGAAAATAAGCACCGATCAGACCAGCCAAATAAGCTTACACAGCGTAAAAATAAAATTATTATCAGAATTGTAACAAGCGAAACCAAACCTATTAATATTGCAAAAGATCTGGATATATAGTATATAAGCCAGATGGTATTCATTTTGAAGCCGTTCGAAATGTTTTAAGATCCAATGATTTTCACACATATATGTTTTTTTATATATATATAAATGGCAAATTTTAGAATTTCATTATTTTGATGGCAACGAAAGCCTTGTCGTTTGTCTTTTTGCCTTCCAATGGTCCAACGGGTTAACTGACTTGAAATAATCACTTAACGAAATTATTTTTAAATTCAAAAACTTTAATACGTATTTTTGTCGCTCTTTTGTCTTTCAACTGACCTTCGAAGATTTCTTCTTACCATATGGGATCATAATTGTAAATGTCTGTCAAATCATTGCAAACATTTAAAAGCGATGTATATGTTATTAAGAAATGCGCTTTTGCGTCAACTTAACCAAATACGATCACTTTCGTTTCCGCTAAATGTGGATATGTAAGATTGTTTCTAAAGTTGCAATTATTCGATCTTAATACAGATCATCATTAATGTCGCTATTGTGCAACGTTTAAATACAGATAATCATTGCATTGCCTCCAGACACACTCATCATATTTGGCAACATTTGTTGCCATCTAATCCCTTAGCAAACAAACAATATGATTTTTCATGTTTCCTACTTTTGTTAAAGTAAGTAAAGAGCATATATTACAATCATCTCTACAAACTAGAACAATTGGTAGACCTTTCGAGATACATATTCTTATCACTTGAAGATAAGCATTTGCGAATATTGACAAATTTTGAAAGATTTAAAAAATTCTGAGGGATATCAAATCATAAAAAGGTTCCGAAAGTAATTGCCGGATATGTTTTATTAACGTCCCTTTATCATACTTTGTTAAACTTCTAGAGAAAAGCTAAAGGAAGAAATCAATTTTAAAAACTGGGACTCATTTCTTCACCTTTTCTTAGAAATTAGGCCAAAAAACAAAGTTCAGGTTGATGAAATTTGGCTACAATAACTTCATCAATACTCTTGGGAGGCATTTTAAATTTTTTAAGAACTTGTTTCCATCTAAAGCAAAAAGCAGTAAATCTCTTAGAAATAAAAGGCAAGACGTTACATCATTCAAATGATATCATGCATGTAAAGTCCATAAAGTCTCCCACGCATTTCGTAACGATTGCAAGTGAAATGTAATTGTCATTTAATGCGAAATAATGTATCTTGCAAATGAAAATAGCAAACAGATAAACTGTATAGCGAATTTCCTTGATTTCTGATTTGATTTCTCTTGTGTTATTTGTCATTCACAGAAAAGCAGTTCGACATTATCAACAACGGGTTCAACGGGGCAAACTTTGTACGTTAGTACTGTGTCTTCGAAACCAGCATCAATGAACACCTACAAAAGTGGGGTAAATAAAATAAGCCTACATGCAATTGTTGGCAATGGTAGCGGCAGCGGCAGCATTAACAAGTTGTCTACACTTCAGCAGCAACAGCATCAGCATCAGCCTACTTTATTTAGTCAAAACGACAATATCAGCATTATTAAGAACAGCAACAATAACGATAACAACAACAACAACAACAACAATAGTAATCAAAGTCATTTACTTAAAACACGCGTAGGTGCCAACATTAATTGTAATTTTGATGGTGGTGATGAATATCAGACGTCTGCGAAGGCAACAAAAATGACAACAGCCACAGCCGCTACACCATCACCAACTGTGACAGTCACTTTAGAAACTCGTCATCATCAGCATCATCATAACGATCGCTTGACGCCAACGCAATCAATAGGTGTTCATACACAACAGAAACGTGATGAGGAAAATTTCCGGCATTATGTTAACAGTGACGTTCCATTTAATGAACAAGATGCTAATGATTTACGGTATATGTTGAATAATTCTCTTTTATACCATTAGATAACCATTTTATTTTCCCATAGGCTCTCCACGAGACAGCTAAGACGTCAACAGATTCCTCTTAACACCTCTCTGCAAAGATCGTATTCTATCTCAACTGACGATCTCAGCAGTGAGTGGAATGTCGACGGGCATGCAGAAGAAATTGGTAAGGAAGAACCGGCTGAGTGGCGTCGCGTTAGCAAGCTCAGGCGTTCTTTCCAATCGTCCAATAAAACAAATGAAAGTTTAAAATCTCCGGCACCGCTACGTAAGCCGCTTGATTTGCCAGAAAATTCCGTTAGCGTATCTAAAATTAAGGCCGATTTGGAAAATGGACGTAGACTTAGTACTGTCATGCGTAACAATCGTGTGGACTTAACAGCTTTGAATACGTTGCTTCAGTCAGATGAAATAAATGGAAGAGAAGATCACAAAACTCATTTAACCAAAAAGAATTCTTTCCTAACAGCTGAGTCACTCAAAGAGATACGTAATAAATTGAAAAAATTATCCGATGAATCATTATATAAAGAAGATTTCAAAATTCATCAATCTCAACAACAGCCGACAAATGAGGAAGCTTTTAACGAAGAATTAACTGAACGCTTCAAACCGGTCGGTGATAAGAAACAAGCAAATCTCACTTTTGTTAATGTCACTGGAAAACATGCTAGCAACAGCTTAGAGTCCCGATTAAAATATAAAGATCCAAACTCTACTGAGTGGCACCTAAGACGCAAATCCTACGGCTTTGAGAAAATGTCACCGCCCGAGTATAAAGCAATGTTCTGCATGGATGATTCTACCGATAGCGGTTTAGGTAGATCCGGAGAATTGGGTAATTGGTCGCCTATATCCGACACAAGCTGTAAAACTAATAGCCGCAATAGTACGATTATACACCTTGAAGAAACGGCAAAATCAAAAAAAGATTCACATTTGTTGAGAGGCTACCTAACTCAAAAGCTCGTCGAAAAAGAACGAGAAATATCTCCTGTAGACAAACAGTATGATATGAAACGACATTCCATAGCAATAGATGACATCCACTACGATTTAGAAAATCCACGGCAAACAACTCAAATACATTTAAACGGTGTGTACGAGGACAGCAACGATTCGTTGCATACCACATCCCAAAAAAGCCAACAAAAACGTGTAGAGTTTTGCAAGACAGAAGTGCATTTCGCCACTGAATCGGGCCGTGTGAATATAGTGGAAACTGATAGTAAGCCGCCACCCACTAATAATTTTCGTCGAAGACGCCGCAGCTCAAGTGTTGGCCCCCTACAAAGTTTAGTAAAATCGGTGTCTGCAGTCCATACGTCAGCTTCTCCAATCACTACAACAACAGCAACCGTAGCGGTTCCCATTACTATATTTGGCGAGTCAAGCCTAAAGCGTGCAACCATAAATACCGCACCAATCGCTCAAAGGATTTGCTTGGAACCTTCCCCTGAGCCAAAGACAGACTCGGCGATTAACGTTACCATTACCGTACCATCCAAAAATGATTTACTTCCTAACTATGCGTCCACCAGCGGAGTCGATTCAACTGACTGTGATACCGATGAATTTATTTCTCTACGAGGTATTTTAAAAAATAAGCCAATAAAACCGAAACCCTATGTCTTAGGAGAGAATATTGAAAATTCCAAAGCTTTGTGGAGCACGTACAAAAAATTAGAAACAGTTGATGACGGTAATAGAAGTTTTTCTATCTATAATTTTTCTTTTTCACTGTCTTTTATGTTTCAGATTCTAAGTCGTGCTCCCCTCCCCCTTTTTTACTGGCATCTCAAAGGACTGTGGCTGAAAGAATCCGCTTGGTGGAACAACAACAGCAACAACAAGATACGGGTCCTAAATGTTCTTCTCCTACTAGCAACTTCTCAACTAAAATCAATGTCAATTTGGGAGACCGCTCTACATCTTGGCAAGAAGCTGGTAAGTTTTCATCTATCCAGTGATCTTTAGGTTTCAATGGGCCCTTGCTCAAAATCTATTTCTGTAGTACTCTAGGCGCTGACTCTATTTTATTTGTTTTTGTTTCCTTCCTATGGGATGATCTACTTTATTATTATTGTTATTATTATTATTATTATTACTCTTGTTATTATTGTTATTATTATTATGTTTCGGTTGAAATGTTTCTAGGTTATGTTACATTACATTAACATTATAACCTCAAATCAAAAACTAATTGCATGAAACGGTTATATTAAGCATTGCTTTAGTCCACTTTGAAAGGACACAACTATTCATACCTCTAAATTCAATATGCTTTTTCCCAATAGCATTATGTTTCCACCAACACACTCCTCCCACTTCTCCCCCTATTTTCTCTCTATCCATCTACATATGTACCTACGTGAAATTATGTAATGTATATAACTTGATTAGCCTGATACACAACTAGATTAGGATGTCTTAAAAGATTCTCATCAAGAAGTCATTACCTATAACAAATAATGATCTGCAAATGTTCCTTAGGATTCTGTAAATATTCCAGGCAAAGATGATCTCATTCAAAGTAAGGTAATGTCTAACTTATTGACATAAGAAATGTTTCAAACAACCCTTCCATAGTCTCCTGGGTGCACTGACACATTGAAAGCAGAAGCGCCTTTAAGAAATTGTTTGAGAATTTTGTAGCATTTCCTAGTACAAAATATGCTATTTGTTATCGGAAGCGTGTAAAATGTGATGTTGTTATTAAGCAATAATGGAGTGCGGTAAACATTTGTCGGTGGAATACGATGGACGTTAGCCAATTCGAAGTAGAACTGTGAAACTTACATCAAAAAGGGCTTTCACAAAAATGGGTTATAACTTAAGTATCGGTGAAAGAGATCGGAGAGAGATGATTCACGTATGTCACCTAAAAATATTAACCGTTATGATACACCTGAATTTGTAAAAACACGCCTTCAAATTGCCATAGTCTACGTTAACAGGCCCATCTCGAATTGCGTGTCTTTACACTTCAGTTTTTTACCTTTCAAAAGACCAGTATTTTTGTAATTCAAGTATAATTTTCATTACGCTTGGAGTTAAGAACAAAAAACATACATATTGGGGCCATTAGTTCATAATTTCAAAATGTTGTTCGCAGATGTAAGCGGGATGAAGCTTTATATTACCTCGGATGTCAACCCAAACCTATTTGTCAAGTGATTTCTATAAAACCCTCTGATTTTTGGGTGATTACAAAATTCACAAGAGAACTTTTAACAATTACCTTAACCGATCGTCCGTATTAATAAGAATAGATGCATCATAGATATTCATAGATATATCGCAAGTCTGCGATGAAGTACGGCAATAAGATTTAAGGATCAAATTTTATACGTCCTTGCCGTAAGGAAGCATTCTAGGATCTCTTCTTGATTTACATATAAACCCCACATCCCCCTTAAACCAAATACAAACTTTTATTGATGATATTGTCCTTCGAAATAATGACGCGAATTCCATGACAGCTTTGATGCACATAAGACCAAATCGTAATATTGGCAGAATACTTCGACAGGAGAAATCTACGTGTCTGCGACCATATTAATATCAGGCGATGTTACTAAGGCTAAGTTAAAAATATATCAATTGTGATGGCTATTAAATGCTAATTCGAGGTTCAGTCTACACAATAGTTCTAATATACCATATCATTATAGAGCCAATTTACAGCAATTTGGCACATTAATGGAATGTAAAGAAGCCAATCAAAACCCTTAGAGCTGCAAGAGATGCCCAATGGTATTTTACAAATAAAAACATCCGTCAGCATCTGCAAATTCCATACATTATACATTATATAAAATAATAAAGCAGTATGTCCTTGGGCATTTAGGTTCAGTAGATGGTTTTCAAGGGAAAGTCGCACAAAGTTTTGCACACTGAGCATATAACGACCGTACAACCGACGACAAGGTTTTACTACTGAGTTCAAATAAAAAAAAAAAAATTAAAGAAAAAAGGATTCATTGCTTCACAAAAACGTTATTCATTCAAAATTGAATCAAGATTTTATCTAAAACATATCGCAGTCGATTGTATATAAATTCATATTATAAAACTTTTGCAATTAAATCAAAGATTAGCTTGTATTAGCTATGAAAAACGCTCATTCAAACGGAAAGAATCTCTAATGTGTTGACTCCAATGAAGAACAACTTTCTATTTTTTAGAGGTAAATGGTAGGATCACTACCCTTTCTTGGGAAAGTTGCAAGTTTTTTCTACTTACTGAATCTTACTCCTTCCTGAACTTATTTTTTCTCTGCTTTCTTTCTCTCTCTTTTTCTTATGGTGGTTCTTCTATTTTTTAATTGACATACTAATCTGTTAATTGCGTACACCTCCGCAGAACATGGTTTTTTCGAATCCGCTTACAATACACATTCTCTTGTATTTAAGTTTAAAAAAATCTTCATTTCTTTCTTCATCTTCTCTTTTTTTTGGCTTAATTGATTTTCTTGATTTTAAAGCTTATAATTCTACTAAACTGCTTAGAGTTCACTACTATTATGCCAACTAAATAGCTAAAAAACACAGCAAACCTATGTTAATTCTCTTCACCATCACCTTGAAAAGAAAAAGAAAGCCAACCGTACACAAATCTTACTGAATACAGGTTCCGACATAGGAGATATTCCAACGAGACCAACGGCCCAGGCATTGTTGCTACAGGATCTCAAAGAGAATCAACGTATTTTAGATGAAGGCCTGAAATCGACAAATTTGATCATAAAAACCTTACGTTCGGCTAATGAATTTGATGAGGCCATGAGGCGACTGTATTCCACTGATGTGGAATCAAATTATACCACGCCTGTTGTAGTGCCAACGCCCATGTTTAGATCTCACAATCTACAAGAATCCCTTAAATGCAATTCCTTAGGTAGCACTGGGCTAGAATATACCAAGGCTTACAATTGTGTTACCTTGAGGTCAGATTCTATTACTTCAATGAGAAAAGAGATTTCAGATTCTGCAACCAGAAAGAATGCAACAGAACATCATAGTTTGATGGGCAATGAGCAGGGGGATAGCCAACAGCTGCAAAGATTAAGAATGATATACGATGCTACTCTAACACAAGGCGAGGACAGCGCCGACGAAGAAGTAAAAGGTTATTTTAAAGATTTCATCGACATTGCGTATGACGACAACAGTGCCACTCAAAAGCCTTCACTTGTGGGAGACAACAACTACCAACCCTACTCAAACGACTTAAAGGTTGCGAAAACCGTATGGAGAATCAATACCAAAAATCATATTACGACAAAAGAAGCACGAGAACAATCAGGTAACCTTGAGGTTAATTTCTTAATAAAGTAGATCATCTTAAAAGGTTCAGTAAAATGCTCTACATTCCAATGGAGATGCTTTCGTTTTGCAAAAGAAGATAACTAAATTATATGCTTTTGTTTATGTGTAGATTTACCGCTTTCTAACGTGGTAAGTATCAAATTTCACTCGCCTCAAATGAAAAAGGAAATTGATTCAACAAATACTGGGCCAATCAAAACATCAGAAGCGCTACCACCTAATTTATCTAACAGTAAGTTCAAAATTTCAAAGGCTTGATTTCTACAGTGCAAAAATTTCTAAAAAAATATCCACTAACCTTAGCTCACGAGAGTACGGCAACACTTAAACAATCCCCTCGACAAAGTATTGCTATTGCCAAAGAGGCTTTAAAGATTGTGAAGGAAGCTAGAGGAGCTCGGCAATTGCGCGAACATGAGTTGTCCTATTTCGGTGTTTCGAAGGACAAAAATAATGTGCAGCCCCTAAAAACTAAACTATATTCTACACCTAGCCCATCTGTTTCAACGAAGCGTACCTTACCATCACGACGACTTAGCGAAGGGAATCCGTTAATAAACAAAGAATGGCCAAACAAAGATAACAAACCTGACTTGCTCAAGCATAGTGAAATACAAATGCGAGAAATTACGAAAGAGCCGAAAGCAAGTGAACGATCAAGTTTACTTACAACGAAGAATGACTTGAATTCCGACGAAGAGCATTTATACGAAAACATAGCGAACGATATTACTCCAACATTTAAAGTGCAATCGCCCTCGCTTTCACGAGCCTATGATCGGAAAGCAGATCTTCAAAGAGATGCTATGATTTTAAAGGAAATGAACACCAATGCTGATCAAACTTTGAAAGTAAGTTTCATGATTTATACGAAAGCTAAAGAAACTTAAGTGTGTTTTTTTTTTAAATACAATTCGAAGGATCTTTCTGACGAGACAATTTTAAGAGATCGCCGACGCCGTTCTATGCAGCGTCGTAATTCCAAGCCATTGGAAACTATAGAGGAAAAATCCGCACCTGAGAAATCTGTTGAATCTCCGGCAATGGTAGTGAAAGTGGATCGCGCCACTTATTCTTCTGAAGCGAAGCGTATCGCTCGACGTTCTACAGCCTCCCCGTCTTCAGCAAAACAACGAGAAAGAACGTCTTCGCAGTCGTCAGTAGAATGCTGCCCTAGGGCTCGTTCACGTTCTTTATCTAGCGAAAAAGAATTTGAAACGCTTAAAATGAAACAAGCGCCTAACTCTGCCGCGGTTAAGCATAAATCATATAAAACCGCAAACGCTCGTTCCTATTCGCGGGAGTCCCAAAATTCATCGCATTCGCAATGCTCATCGACTGACGAACAGCTTTTTGATAGTTTTAGGCGCGAAGAACGTTCGCGAGCTAAAACTAAACGCCATACCACTAGCAGCACAAAAGCTCTGAAACAAACTACCATTCAGTCTAATCAAAAAGAAGATGCAAAACGTTTATCCAGCACTGCTCGTTCTTCTACCCATAGAGAACGCGTTAGGTGCAAAATGGAAACGGTTGCAAAGCCATCTCAACATCAAAATCAAACGAACCCGTCTTTATTCCGCTCAACAAATTCATCGGGAGAAAGTGGTCGCAGACAACGAGATGAATTAAAAGATTTACAACAAAGTGTAAAATATTGTGACACCACTGCCGCGAACATTTCCGCCAACAATAATAAACATTCTTCAAAATATGATGACAAAAAGAAGGCAACATCTCAAGAAATTTCTTCTTTTAAAAATGTGGAACAAAATAACGAAAGCGAAGAGAAGCACATTAAACCGAAAGGTAAAGTAGTAAGTAAAAGGAGAGGGAATAGTAGAAGGGTAGATCGATCATCTCGGAAATTTACAAATCGCGAAAGATTTTTGTAGAGTTTTATTATTGAAAAGAAATCGGTTTCGCATTGTCTGCTTTCTTCTTTTTTTTTTTTTTGATAAAATTTGTTCAATTTTTCTTTTACAGACCTGGTGTTATTGGGTCTCTTAATAATGGGTGCCACTCAGCCCGAAAATCTACATAATCATTTTAGGTTAGATAAATTTCATTAGAACCAAAAACTAATGGCAAATGCACCTTAGATTACTACCACTTCACTCGTAGCGCAATATCGGCTAAATAACTTATTGAAAACTAGCACCAACACCAAAATTGAACTACTGAGAGTATTCTACTAATTTCCCAACAATCAAAACAGAAATTTTTAAAAGCGTTAACTTTAGTTTAATGTAACAAATTGGTGAACATTATTTTAAAATAATTTTTCTTTTAGCTCACTCCAGTCGCTCTACCTCGAAGCAACGCCGCCACCAACACCCTGAAGCTCAACTAAAAGCAATAACCCGAGAAAGAGAGCAATTAAAGTCTAGGACAACGAAAGCATCAACGGCGGCAATAAACGAAAACACGACGTACGTAAGCGTTTCGAATTTAAGACAAGTACAAACTGCACTTTGCACAAGCGACACCAATGTGAATAATGAAATTATGCAAACAGCAGCTGTTATAGCCGACACCAACATCTATGAAAAAAGCGAAAACTTCGAAGCAATCGATCAATCTATAAAACAGTCCTTACAATCCCAAATCCCAATTAAACCACCACGTAAGAAACGTTACAAAAAGTCCTTAATTCCTATAGCCATACCTACTAAACCAGAACGTCTTCCTCCCCTATCTCCATCGCAAAAGTTACAAATCGAAAAAATACCTTCTCCGCCTTCTTACGAATATCAAGTTAAAACTCAAATTATACCTCCTAGCTATTCTAATCAAAGTACATTGAAAAAAAGTTCTCTACCGAGGCCAACAAGCCGCTTATCTTTTTTAACCAAGGCTAGAAAATCATCACATAAATATGCCCATTCCACGTCGTCCTCTTTTGCATTTCTACCTTATCTTCCAGCCAAAAGAAATTCGGATGTCAGTCATATCTATGACAATTACATGTTATATGCAGTGCCTGCGTCTATAAATGCCAAAGCTTATAAACAAAATCTGGTCAACGATCATGCCCATTTATTCGGCGGTACCGGTCATCGATATTATAACGATGGAGGAAAAGGATTGCGTAGACGTACCGTACGCAGCACGGTGTCCACCCATCAACCATTTGGCATTTGCACATGTTCATAGTCTCCGACATTAATCATCAAATAAATGCTAGGTGTTTTCCAGAGATTCGCATCAAAAAAAAAAAAAATAAAAAATAAATAAATAAAAAACAAAAACTACACGCTTTCGTTTAGCCAAAACAGCAAGCTATCTCCACCTGAAATACTAAAAAGCAAAAAACCAAAAAAAAAAAAAAACACCGATAAACATCATCACACTTCCATGCACATATCAGTCTATGCACTCTATTTTGACAAACACCTTAACACCCCCACCTGATATCGCTTTTATACGAACGTTAAACGAATAATTCAGAAATTTTTATCTAATTCATCCGAACTCTTTACATACTTTTTAGCAACTCATGAAAAACAAATATAAATTATGGATTTATTTTTACTTTTTCACAATGTAAGATATGTTAAATAATTTTCTATATATATTTCATAACACTTTTTGATTTTCTAGTAGTTTTGCGATACAGTAAACTGTAGAATACAAGGGTAGAATTTATTTATATACTCTTTTGTGGTAGCATAATTTGCTTTCGCAGTCTACTTTCGTAGCAAAACTGACTGACTGTTTCCTTTCTCTTAATTTTTATACTCACTACAGCAAGATATGTCCAAGTACTAATCTTGTCATTTCGTTCGTATTGCGTAGTAGATTTGGGTATCAAATATTCGTTGTGATCTGCTATTTGGAACTTTCTAATAGGCAAAGAAAAAAAATGTAACCATACCGCCTACACTTTTAACTAACATTGAAATCGAATGAAATCTTTTAGCTTAAAATTTCATATACAAATCTTATTCAAGCAACAAGGCACGTCAGTTACCAATTCCAGAAACCGGATCAAGAACCGAAAGAACTCGATCAGTCTGCCAGTTGAAAAATACGCAGAGCTAACTTGTGAAATTCCAGAAAAAATGATTATTCTAGAATATTGCACCGTTCCAAATTTGACTAGTTTCCCTATGGTTGACCATTACGAGTTAGCTACACACATCCTGCTTCTGAAGTTTGTTACATCTAGTCAAAGAGTATCACATAGACATTAGCAATTTCATTAACACTCAATTATGCCAACATCCGTAGTCATGTCATCAATAATATTAATTATTTCTTCAATGCCTGTCTCTATATTACGGCCAAAAAAGTATCCTTAGCCGGCCTTATCCGATTATATTAAAGTTCAGCGATCCACTTAAAAACTGCATTTCATTATACTTTCATCAATTCGTTTTGACTATTTATTGCCCTTAGGCCTAATACTACTTTTTTTTTGCACGAAATATTAACAATTTTTTGCAGCTCGAAATCGATCGAAATTTAAGTTCCTCCCAAATAAAGAAAAGAATTCAAAATGTGATACACTAGGGTTCAATAAATGTTAATCCGTGAACTTTTCAGTTAGTTTACTATACATAGACAACATTCAGCAGGTGGTGTCCGCGCAATTTATTTTCCATTATGCTAACATCAGAGACAACTAAACAATAAGACATATCAACAATTTGTTCAAACTAGAGCTAGCAGAATCTCAGGGATTTGTAGGGTTTCTGATAACAATAACAGTAGTTACGCTGTTAAAGAGCAGCCATTTGACTGCTTGTTCTTTCATTCTCATATTTTTATGGGTAAAACTTTTCTTAAATAGTTTCATTGTACCGGAAGTTTATAAACCAAAACTATACGCAACTCTGAGTTTTTAAGTGAACATGCGCTATGGCCTACATATAAGTATATATGTATAGAAAAAAATTGAACAGTAACTGGATACTAAATATGACTTCTATTCTAAATTTTGTATTTGCCAAATGCTTGAAATAATTGCAGTGAAAATATTTTATGAATATGTATGAAGAAATATTTTATAATTAAACTAAATTTAGTTATTTTTTATACATTTATTTATTTTATTTGCATATAGAAATCTTAGAGATGTTTTATTCATTTTTCCACATCATACATGAATCATTGTACACGACGCATTACCTATTCGTCTCACAAAACCAGTTCTCTAGATACACTTTAGAATATTCTAGAATTTATTCGACTTTCTTCATAGAATATCTTCCCTGAAATTTGTTGAAACAATTGGTGAACATAAAATTGGCAATCCTTCAATGTGAAGTTATATTTGCTATGTACCTCCTTTTTGCGTTTTTCTGTTTATATACACTAACACATATGCCATAGCGCATATTCACTTAACGCTGTTGCTTTATAAGCGTTCGATATAGCGAAATACTTTAACAGATTTTTTGCTCATGCAAGCAATGACAATGAAAAAGCAAATTGTCGAATAGCTGCTAACCAACAGCGCCACTATTAGTTATAGTTACTGTTAACAGAAGCACTAAATGTTCCCGAGATTTTCCGAGCTCTTTTGAATAAAATGTTGAAACGTCTTAGTATTTAGTTGTCTCTATTTAGCATTACTTACCTAAAATGCGTTGAGCCCTTACTAATATAAAAGATAAGAGAATGAATTTTCATTTACAGCGTATTAGCTGGTGGTGGACTCCAATATATAAAAGTAAAAAATTATCTATAATATAAGGGATTATATTGAATGCTAAGTATGAATAAGGTTTCCATCATATTTATCGTACTTATCACTAACTTGATAATTCGCATACATATATTTAAAAACTATCGTAACAATTTCTTTCATTCTCTGCTCAAATAACTTTGGTAGAATTGATTAATATATTTACTGACTATGAACATGTTCGCTCGAAATCTTTTCTATTATTAATTCGTTTAGCTATGTCGGCCGTAGTAAAATAACCTTTGAAAAATACATTTTGTAGTTTTTCAAGTATACATAGAGTTAGAAAAAAATATTAATTTAGAAAAAAAAAAAAAAAAAAAATTACATAAAATTATGAGTGAATGTTAAAACTAATATGATTTTTTTTTAATATTTTCTTTTACAATTTATTTTAGATATAGTAAAAATGCCAGCGTAACTTTAAATGGTTCGCAAGCACCGAATCACGATTACCTTCATCACCATCATCATCATCGTCATGATCATCGGCAACTTCGCTCACGTTCTCCGTGCAAAGAGGGTCAACAATCGAATAATAAGCGAATAGCTAACGAAAACGCTAAAGAACATATTTATGATTTGAAAACAGCATTTATTAAATCAACGGCTACGAAACGTAGTAATAAGAATAAAAAATGACTTGTCGATAATTAATTTAAACTTTTAGTTACTACTAGAATGATTTCTTTGAGCAGTTCCTTATTATCTGCCTAATCTTTAATTTTTTTTTTATTTTTGTGTTTGTAAAGTTGAACAAAAAAAAAAAAACACTAACTCGCACTATTCTGACTTAATTATTAATGTTTTTTTTTAATAAAATTATTATAACAAAGAAGAACTTAAATAAATTTTATATATTTATTCATAATTAAATATTATTTTAAAGAAACTTATAAGAAATGCTTCGTATATGAATGCATTAATTACACAAGTGATACTCATTATATTATATTATTTAAGGGTTTAATTATCCTTTTTTTGTTTTTTCTATAAAAATCGAAATTTAACAAAGACCTTATGTACATACCTAAGTATATGTATGTATCGCAAAATAAATTAATAAAAGTATTTCAATGCAAAAGAAATTTCAAAAAATTTATTTTTATTTTTTTTTAAACATAACATATAAACACTTTAGAGTGGGACACGGCTCACCATTGAATAACCTACCTTACATCAGTATGCTTAATACACTATTCATATTGCGACTTTTCAAAATAGGCTGTTATATAGGAAGTGGTTGAAAAAGTTATCCGGACTCGCCCTAGTTGTCCTAAAGCCAAGACGCGTCAGTGAACGAAATAATATCAAAATATCTCAACCGTCGCGACTTGTAGGTTGAATACAAGAAAACGAGACGGAAGGAAGGAAAGGCTTGATTAAATCGATTCAGAAATTGATTGGTGCAATAAAAAGCGGGTTAGCACTCACAAACTTAATATATCCTTGTATCACAAGTGTAGCGTATAAACACGAAGTTGTAAGACCTAAAACAACGACGAATTCGTTTTTTCTATTAAGATAAAACAATTGTTCAGCCGATGCCTCTCTTTGCGAAGCACGGTCACGGCCAAATAAAAGAGGAGGAGATACGAACCTAAAAGGGAATCGGTCATCGAAAATAACAACAAGCAGACTTCAGACTTATGGCTGAATTTTTCTTTAGACTTTAATTAATATACGGTTATACACAATAGAAAATGTATACATATTCTCTCTGTTTCTTTCTCTCTCTTTCTCTCTCTCTCTCTCTCCCTCTCTCTCTATCTACCTATCTATTTACCTCTATCTCTCCCGGTGTCTCTCTCAGCAAAGCTAAGTGGAAGAGCGTGCTGTAAGTCTCAGTTTCTCCTTTTCTGTTGTTTTCTGGTAGATATATTTAAGTATTACAAAATGAAAACCGCTCTAGTTTTTATATATTGGTATTAATCGATTCGTTATAATTATATCTACACAAAAAGAACTAAGAAAGTTATATATGGTCATTACCGAATATTTTGTGCCCCACACACACAGTGTAGGTTGGTTTTCCATATTCCGTAGTTATGTATCTGTATGTTGTAGTTCACGAATAATCAGCGAAATAATTGAAGAGCAGAAATATTCTGCCTTTAAGTTGTACTGTGGGCGTGTCCTCTGATTTGATTTGTTTTCAATACCAATTCGCATTCGAGAGCTTGCAATATTGTGTTTCAATATACATTTGCCTGTTCTACACAACCTCAATTTCTGTATTGATCCTTCGAGACTATTTTGTGAAAAATTCAACCCACATCGTTCCATAACCACCGTATTCATATGATTTAGCTCCATGTAACTTGTGGTTGTTTCCTAAACTCAAAAGACCACTCCGGGGACAACGTTTCGATTCGATTCAAGGGATACAAGTTGAATAGCAGAAAGCTTCGAAGGCCATTCCGGAAAACGTTTGTCTCGAGGATTGATAAAACGTTGGCGTAAATATATAGTATCTGAAGGGGATTACTTTGAAAGCGTCGAACAAGTTTTGCAATAATAAATAGACTTGAAAAAAGATCAAATTTAATTCATCTTTATTTTTGAGCACGCTAGTGTATGTGGATGGATTACACTAAATTTATCTTTCAATTTGTAACACCGCGAAATGTACTTATTAGACGTAAAAAATATATATATTTCAGCGTAAGATTTTAAGTTGAAATGGGTTGGTTCATTTCATGCTTTTCTTGTCCATCCGCGCGCCCATCGATCTCTTTGAACATTACAACGATGAAAATAAAAAGCTAAAATTTAGAACCTACAATCTTAGGTGATCTTAGGCATCGGAGGGAGTGTAGGTAAGAATTGCGACTAGCAATTCAGTGCTCGGGAATTCAAATCTGAAGTACGGTAAAGGCTACTTTGAGTAGATAAAGATTAATGCTGTACGATTTTGATACACACTCATTAGATTACGGCCATGATCGTCCTATTCCTTTCTCTTTCTTCATTTCTTTCTCACGGTTACTGTGCTATGCGAATAGAGAACATCCCTTGAATGACTGGCGATATTAAGCAAAAAAAAAAAAAAAAAAACATTACATATTTGAATAAAATTTTATTATTTTCGCTTTACGACTGGGATGTTGAATTGCAGAGATCTCTTTTTTCTATTAGTTATTTCCCTCATACAAACCGCTTTTTGAACAACTTAAGTCTTTCTTAAGTCATTCGGTTGAGACATTTAATTCTCTGATGCAAATTGTTTATAAAAATGATTAATTTCTGAAAACAATGTCCTTCCTTCCACAATCAGTACTCTATCATATAACCCTCATCTTTTTTCTCTTCAATCCTTACGCTTCTAGATGTAATTTGCTTAAGAGTCGAGTTTGATCATCAATTGTTTTCTTAAAATTATAATGATGTATGATAGCGTACCACCGAGCCTGAACTATGACAACAATTTTAGAAATACCTTGTTAAACGTCACACATTAATAATCTGGAAAGTTGCAAACGTTTGGAACGAATGCCGCAACATTAACCCAAACAAAAAACTAAGGAAAGCCTTCAGTTGTATTCTCTATAAAACAGACAACAACAATTCTGATAGATATGTATGTAATGGGCGATATAAATTGATAATTCATTGATAACATCAAAGTACGTTATGTGAATCACTTTAAAACACAATAACAACAATAAGATAATACTTTTAAGTTAGTAAAGCTTACGGTTAAAGCAATAGTAGCACATTCCTTGCTAACCTTTATGAAGCAAGTCGTGGTGATTTTAATTTAGTTATCAACAAAACCGAAAGAGAGTAGGGAAAAAAAAAAAGCTTTTCGCTCTCGCTAAGTAACTTTTAATGATATCCCTCACTTAGATTTCGGAATTCCTGAGGTTCAGTTGTTAAAGAAATGCTGTTATAGTTAAAGCGATTCAATTTGCTTATTTGTTTAGTGAAATTAAAAGAAGAGTACAAAAAAAAAAATTATACAAATTTGTAAAAATAATTACCAGTAAATTGTAAAAAAAAGTGTGAAGCATTGTTTATCTAGTGTGAAAAAATCATAAAAACGAACTCTTGAAAATCCAATACGAGGTAAAAAAAAAAATAAAAATAATATTTGTAATTCGAGAATATCAAGTATTTTTTAATTCCCTTCAGAAAATTGGGTTTTTTAGCTCAGTTTTCTACGTAGCTCCCGCTGAATGTTCACTTTTTAGACATTGAATACTTGCAAACTTGCAACGGGGTAATATTATCGGATACGATGTAGATAAAAAACATAAATAAATGTCTATCATCTCCTGATGGGCATGTGGAGGGAGAAAATGATAATCAGTAAATATGTGGCACCTTGTCTTCTGCGAGCCACAACCGTTATATTTTTTCAAGAAATTATCATCTCTTCACACTCCTTATCAGTCGAAATTTAAAAGCATTCTTCGAAGCTATTTTCAAAACTTAGCTTATAGTTTTAAAATAAGTTTAAATTTCCTCCTATTATCTGCACGTGGCTGTATATAAACTCATCTTGTCGGTTTTTTAAATTTCAAATTGATTTCTCAAGGATCTTCTCAATATTAACTCCATACAAAATTCAGTTCTATCTTCAAATCCATGATCGCTCTTAATTACTTTTCGATTTCAAATTTATGATTCATTTTTCCATTACATTTTTTTTTAAAGACTTTATCTTAATTAATCCCAATTTTTATATATGTATATATGAAGCAATGATTTCGAAAATTATATTACAATTATTTTATATTACGAAAATTTCTTGCATAGGAAGATCTCAGAGTTATATTGAAAAGTTTAACTAAGCGTTAAATATTCGATTATCTAATAAGTGATTTTTTTGGGCAACGAAAGATAAGATTTAGAATCGTAGTATCTTAAATAAAAAAATAAATAAAGAGTAAAGCTTTTACTTTTCATGTATTATGATTATTTCTCTTCTACCTCATAGTGTGTATAACTAAAGCAAAAAATTCACAAACGTTTACTAAATCGTGACAATAACAACCTCATATTAATAATTAAAAAAAAGAAAAGCAGACAAGCTAAGGGGGAAAAGACGACCTATTTTCTCCCTTGAAATTCTAATTTCCTAAAATTTTATTATTTCGTGATTGAAATCTACAGACCACAAAGCCAGACTACCTTTAACCTTCTCCTCCCTATATTTCTTTTCATTTACCTACACTTTCATAAAACTGTATTAAAAGAAAAAAATCCTTCTTGTTGTTAATATGCAAGCAATATTCTGGCCGTGCGTTGTAAACATGAGGTTTGACCTTTAAAACTAGTGGTGCATGTGTCAATATATTAGTAGCGTTATACTGTTGAAAAAGTCCATTAATTAATTTTTATTGATTTTTAAAAAAAATTATATCCCTCGCCATATGCCAATATATAAAGACTTAAAATTAAAAGCGCGTTGCTGGACAAATTGTGAAACAATTTTACGCTGTCCAGGAAACATTTCTATGTGATCGTTATGGACTGTCTTTTTTTTTCTTTTCATTCTTTGGTTTATTTATCCAGAGTACCGTGAGTTTGTTCGTTTTGTAGACATAAGGACGGACTTAATCATACAGGGTCGGCATTTCATATTAATCAAAGTTTTATAGACGACGTCTACGGCTTCATATCCTGTGAAAAGTAACAAGTAAACACATCAAACCGAGCTTGAGCTTATGGTAAGATTCTAATGTTTGTTTTAGTACTTTCTAGAAGAAATGGCCAAGGCAAACTTATCCTTCACATACGAAATGCTATCTGAATCATATATAGACTCAGATTTGTATATCGTTATCGCTATCCAAGAATTTTCTTTTTCGAGAATTTCAAAAGATGAATCGGCAGATAGTAATTACTTCATTACGAATGCTAGTAATGGGCACATTAAATTGAACACTATATTTAGGTATATTTTGGGTACGACGAGAAAACTATTGTTCAAGTTACCTTTCGCCGATAAAAATAGAAATCATGTAGAGGATGATTAAAAAATATTTCAAATTTCGGTTTTTAACAACTTTAATGAAACGATACGACTGAAGCAGGGCATCGCGCTTCCTGGATTTGACAGACCGATTTTCCCTCTCTCTCTCTCTCTCTCTCTCTCTCTCTCTCTCTCTTTCTTTCTTTCTAACTAAACCAGTATACCTATAAATTTCATATAATAATCAATAAAAGTTTGTAAATAACTATTCCTGTAATGGGTTGCGCTTGAGAACATTGCTGTCAATGAACTCGATAGAATTTCTATCTGATCAATCTTTTAATCAAATTTCGTCTGAGAGTTGGTGTATTTTAAAAAGTAGGACCAACGTTCAAGAGCAGTTTCGCGACGGTATGGAATATTAGAAATATTTTTTTTTCTTAATTTGGTAGCATTGTGACAGACATCTCGGTTTCAGCTGAGCTTGGTTTTATACGATACAAAAATATTTTTTCCGATTACAGAAAGAAGTTCCAAATTAGTCATGAAATGCATTATTACGAGAAATGGAACTTGTAACCATGCATACGACGCGAAAACAACCGATCAATATCGTGCAAAAGATCAGTCAAGACCGGAAAACCACGCAAAAATCGCTCAAAAATCGGGTTGATGTTAACAGTTTTCTTCGATTATCATGGTGTTGTGCACTATGAATTCCTTCCGTCGATCCAAACTATTATTTGACTGTTATAGGCCGTTTGCGCGAATCTTTACGTAAAAAGAGGCCGGAAAGGATTTAAAAATTGATTTTACTTTTTGGCGACAATGGATTCGTCATTTATATGTCATCCTACGAACTTATTGAGTGATGTGTTACAAGCATGCATCCAATTTCTTAAATTCAAAAAAAAATAAATAAATTAATCTGGCAAAAAAATGTGTAATTTGTAGAGTAGAGTTTAGGTATTTAACTAACTTGATTTGTGCCAAGTTTAAAAATGAAACAAATATGGTTCATAAACATTGGGTAAAATCGAAAATTTACTTTGTTTTTATTAGTGATATATTGATCCAAAAATTGCTTTCAAAATGCGCTAGAGTACTTGCAGCAAGGAGTGGTCGAATGGGCAGATCATTCGCCTTAAAGCAGGCTGATATCGCTTTCTTGCTTGTTAAGTTAGTGGAAAGTTATATTTCAGAGATGGTTTTCCCATTCTGAAGGTGTGTAGAAATAAATAATATTTCGGTTTGTGATTATCATCTCACATGCCTGTCTGTGTGTCTTTTTAAGCAAAAGGTTCCTTGATTTTGAAACGGTTACTCCGGCGAAAAACGACTAGAAAGAATCTGAACAATATAGAGAAAATTCCAGATAGTCAGACTATGTTATGAGTCTATGAAAAGCACACATAAGCATTGTTCTTGAAAAGACAAAGATAATAAAATATCTTCCCACCAATGAATAGGAAAGTTGTTAACACATTTTAAGAATATATCTATAGGTAGATATAGAAGTCTATGTACACCGACATAGATATCTGCATACACCGTTGACTTCAGTCGCATTTTTGACTAATTTTTTGAAAAAATGTTTAAGGTAAGAAAGCTGCGAATGCGTTGTTGCATTATTCAAATATCGAAAAAGAGTAAAGAATCAATACAACAAAATTCAGGGTTTCCTCATTGATCGCAATGCAAAGACGCCTCTTTGTAAACAAGTAATTATAACGAGAATGGATTGTCTTTGCTCTTTTTACTTATATAATAATAATTTAGAGTTTGCTGTACATTTTTCATAGTCCTTGAGAAATATTTTCCACATTTTACGTTAGTTAAACCATTAAATTTTATACATTTTCTTTTATTTATAATTATAATAATGATTTTTTTATTGTCTTTCAAGATACATAATCAAAACTTATCATGTCGCTGTTGACGGGAAGCGCAAATTGCATTAAATATGTTTTGTTTGCTTTCAATCTTGTACTATTGGTGAGTACATATACTCCAAGTAACTATATTCGCTTTGAGTTTCCGCAATTTAATCTACACTTATATCTCAGCGGATTGATTGAAATCATTCTCTCTCTTTTTCAAAGATTTCTACGATTATTATGATAAAAATTGGTTCCAAATTTTAAAATCGATACTTAGTACGGGGTTAAGTTAGAATAGAGTGGCGAGATAGCTTTTCATTTTTCTTTCTATCATAATTAATGCAAGTTTCAAAATACAAAGAGCAAATAAGTAGAGAAACGGAACATGAGCAAATTTTCAAATGATCAAGAAAATGCATAGAGTAAATATGAGCTAAAATAAAAACTAAAACTGAAATGAATGGTAAGTTAATGCAATCACTGCCGATATGAAAATTCGGCTTAAGCGAGACACTACAAATATCTTAGCTTTGCTTTCCTTTATAAAATTAAAAGGTGTATCTAAGAAAAAGTATATTTAAGGCATGTCCATAAGGCAATGTTCGTTTTATGGCAATATATCTTCATAGAACAATTTCGAAATAATGTCACAAACGCGAAATGCGAAAAGAATATGAATACCAAAGAATGTTGGCAAATAGATCTTCTTTGCTTCTTCACTCTTTGGCAATTCCTCTAGTTACTAGAGGTGAATTATTCTGTACCTTATCACTGTTACGAATCAATTTATTTCGGTTTTTATTCCTGATCGATTTCTTTTGCGAACAATAAGTTAGTTAATAATTGTACATTAACTTGTTTGGGTTCGCACACCTGGACGGTGAATCGCTTTGACAGCATCAGCTGCGGACAGTATCTGTACTCTCATAATTACTCCTCTGGAATCAAATTTGTCCTATTTTAAAACCCTTTTCAAATTCTTCATTGCTTGCTTCTGCGAAAGAACGACAGCTGGGCAGTAATAAATAGGCGACTTCTTTGCTTCTTTCAAACTTTGAAAAACAGACATGTTGGCTGTCAAATAATTTATGACTAAGTCAATGTGGAACGCCAAACCAATTAATGAAATGAGTTTGTGTCCGTCGTATAAGTGAGTGTAGAAAACGTTTAAGCTTTTGTGCTATTAATCCAGCCATCAGGCTTTTTATACAAGGTGTGTTGGAAAAAAGAAGTGATTTTTTTCTTTAATGAAATAGCTCATGAAATTTGAAAACTTACTGATTTTTTCGAACACCTCTCGTCTAATCTGAAATACGGTCTGTGAAAGGTATCCGCCTTCCATATCTGCCATGGAAGGAAGGATTCGAATGCTGCCGAGTTAGTTTTCTCCACGCAGTAAAAATTGGAGACTTTCAGCGAGTTAAAGACCATCATCGTAGGCATCTCCATTACCCAAAAGTTTCACGCATATCGATATAAAATCTGATATCAAAAGTACCCCTCAAGACTATCTTTAAATTCACCTGCACAAACTAAGCACATATATCAAGAGAGTCCTTTGCCGGTGTTTAATAAACTATTTGAGTCGCTATATATAGACAGTGCACCATAAGGTGTACATTTTTTTTTTTTAACCTATTTAGGTAAATATCTTTGAAAAATTTTAATGAATTAACAACGAATGGAGGAATGCTTTCAATCAATTTGAATCAAGAGAAAACTTAACCGCAAATATTTCCCATCATTGAGGGTCAACGAAACAACACAACAATACAGCTGTTGAACATAAAAGAGGGATAAGAAAAGCTTTTGTAATTGTTCTCATTTTCATAGATCACTGGTATTATCTTGATAGCTGTTGGACTCGGTGTAGCCACGGTCTACAATGAATATGAGATATTTTTGGCGTCGAAATTCTTCTCAATTCCAACTTTTTTGATAGTTATTGGTTCATTTATTATTATAATCTCCTTCTTCGGCTGCTGGGGTGCTTTAAAGGAGAATTATTGCTTAATTCTAACGTTTTCTGTCCTTCTGGGCATAATATTCATATTGGAATTGTCTGCCGGTATTAGTGGTTACGTGTTACGTTCTGATGCTGAAAGTCTTATTAAAGTAACTTTAACGGATTCATTGGGTAAATATAATAATACGAAGGTAGACGAAGTAACGGTTTTATGGGATTACGTACAAAAAACTGTAAGTTAATTATTATGAATAATTTTAAATTGTGATTTCATAATCATCTTTGTTTTGTCTCATCAGTTCACCTGTTGTGGCGTAAACAGTTACAAGGATTGGGCAAGTAAGTTCGAAGATAAATTACCTTTGTCCTGTTGCTCTTTGCCGAATGGAGTAGTGGGTGAATTTAGTTGCACGGCAAACAACGAAGATTCCAACCGCTATAGTAATGGTTGTTTAACAGAGTTCTCCAATTATATAGCCGCTCATGCTGTCAGTTTGGGAGCAGCTGGCGTCATTATTGCAATTCTTCAGGTAGATTTTCAAATTTCTTTCTTTTATTTTCTCTTAATAAATGCATAATAAAATATTCTTTTTTTTGCTCTTACAGTTCTTTGGCGTCCTATTTTCATGTTATATAGCTCGTGAGATAAAAATTCGTAACGGCATTTCCGGCTTTGTGGGTTAATATTGTTCAATTAAAAAAAAAAAAAAAAAACTCAGATATTCATCTTTATCACTGTTATTTATTACTTTTAATATAAACATTTTTCGTCAGCATACTACGGGCAACATATAAAAGCTTCTGCATGTATATGTAATAATATTTATGTCCACAATATAGTTTGACGATGGCTGATAAACTTATTTAAATTATTTTACAAAGTTTGCAAATACAAAAAGTACTTAAGGCTTTTAACGAAAAAATAAAGATTAAAAAAAAAACGGACAGATATTTTATTTAATTTTGTTCTAACACTAATCTAATGGACAGATTTAATAGGATGTTATATGAAATGATGTTAAATACAAATCCAATGTTGAAAAAGATAACAGTGATGATCAGCAACAGTTTATGCTGCTTGCAGCCCTCTTAACATTGATGCGGACCTTTGACATCATCGTTCTTAGACCGTCATATATTATATTGAAATCCTTTCAGTTTCCCTTTCTTTCTAAAAATTTAGGTAAATGTTTAAAAATATATCGAACCGTAATCGTAAAAAATATAAATTCAAAAAAATGTATGTGTATAGGCGACTTGTAACTTATATTTCATATATATATAGTATCACTAACATTTGATGCAGATGTTTAACTATTATCAAGAGGATGTCTGCGATAGTATAGTTAGATAGGAGATAAATAAATTGTGTAGAAAGCTATACACTTACAAAAAAAGATTAGAAATAGCCATAACAAGTAAGAAAGTTACATTCGGCGGATGCCGAATCTCGTACCACTACGCTTTTCGTATTCTACTATCCAAGTTCTTTCATTTTATGCCCATCTCGCTGTAACAAAAAATTAATCGCGCTGTCGACCATATTCATTTTAAAATTAACCTATTTTTAGGCAGATAATATATCTTCATTGGAGGAGTGTACAAACTAGTTGTAAACGTTCTATCTTGTTCGTCTTACGATAAATAAGCCTTGGACCTAAAAAAATGAAAAAAAGTTAATTTTATTATTCGTAACTTTTTGTGGGCACGGCCGGTTGGTTCCATTTTTGGACTTAAAGAGTAACGTGTTTGGTAACGTAAATGGGGGAGTTTCAGCCCTCTACCTCAACCCTCTATCAACTCAGCCTCAGGGAAGGGTATAAAAATAACTTTATTTTCAATGATACGATTATCTTATGACGAAATTCTTAAATTTAAAAGAGGCGCTGCTTCGAAGTCTTCCCGAAGGAGCATATGGACTGTTTTTCGATACCCGCTACCACTTGTGGTACAGAGTATATTAAGTTCATTTAATTTAATGCTTTCCTAGCATGTCGATGCCTTTTTTTTGAGGTCCTCATAACAAGCTTCAGCTTCTGCAATGATCTCTTCACTTGATATGAAATGCCTTTTCACGGAGTATTTCTTTGAAGTTTGTCGTCGCTGGAGACAATATCTCAGGAATATATACTTTCATGTCGTGGTTTTGTTGCATTGTGTGCGAATGCAGTACCAGCTATCTCTTACAACTTTATTTTTAATTATCGAGATTTATCGCCAGGATATTTTTGGTATTTACTGTGCTTATGGTTCTATAATGCAAATGCAATTTTGATCTCTTTGAGCTCTAGCATTATTTAAACCGAAAACGGATTATTCATTAGACACACCGTTTACGTGCACCAGGAATTACTGATCGATATGTTAAGTATTAGGTGTGCAAATAAATTCATTCTGTTTTCTTAATAAAATTCAATTTTAGTTATACTATACCTCTTATAAAGCTTAATAATCGAAATTAGCACCACCGCCGGGTAGCTTATGCATGCCCTTGCGGTAAAACCTACTGGGTCGGGGACGAAACAGTCATTGAGCTGTTCACAGACATCTTAAACCTCTGCTAACCCTTTGCCTGCTAAGTTTCACTGTACCGATCTAAATAAGTGGTAAACGGAAGAGACCAGTTCTGAATAGCATGCGAAGGACGGTAGAGCTTTTCAGCCTAAGCTAAAAATTATTTCCTTGATTGCTCTTGCTACATGCGGACTGGGGATGTTACAAAGCAAAGCCACTTCCTGATTTCTTTTACGCCTTGACAGTCTTTTGCCTGCAACAGTTCATTTAAACGTAGCTTGTTTGATCTTGACAGCGTTCGGATGTAACGCTTTCCTCAAGCTTTAGAAGATCGTAATAAATGATTCCTCTCGAATCTCACCGAACACACAGTAGCGCTTTCTTGGCATGCATATTCGGCTTTGCATAAGATGTGGACGGCTGTTCTGGTTCAACCTACGTCTTCTTCGTTCGGGGAGTTTCACCAGGCTTTAAAATTTCGTAGTAAATGAATGCCTTCTAATTGCACCGAATACACAGTAGCACCGTTTTGGTTTTACATGGGATATGAACGGTTATCCTGGGTCAACACGTGCTATATTCTGCATTTAGTATTTCCGCGCAGATTCGATTTTCCATCGCCCGCAATAATGTGATAAAGATAATTAAACTTTTGATAGCGGCTTTAAAGAGTTTAAGCAACTGTCGATTTTTCGATTTTTTTTCTCTTCGGTTAGCCCCTGAGGGCTATTTTTCATTTCCCTTCCTTCTTTATCGTTCCCATTTTATGCAATCGACTTGAATTCCTTCTCAAGTTGCTCCTAACTGTGGAACAAGCTGGTTTTAAGTCTGTGCTCGTGTAGTAAACTTTGGATTTCTTCACCCAACACATGTTGCGAAAGTCCCCAGTCGTTCATCGACTTCTACATGAACATTTTTTGTATGAAATCTTGTAAACAACTTCAGTTACATTTTTTCCTAAATTAAAACAGAATAATATGCAATGGCGGAAATGCTGCTTGTTGACATGCATCTCTTTAAACGTTGATACACACTGAACGACAGCCGGTAAACAACTGAGACTTATTTAAATCGAAGGCATCACATACGTTTTACGAAGCAACCAATTTCAGCGGAACGAATTTATTTACACACCTAATATATATGAATACGTAGGGCAAGGAGTTAGAACAAATTAAATATAAAATTGTAATATTTGTTTTAGTCGTTGTAACGAAGGTTACAAACAGGGAAAATTTTAAGATGACCGTAATATTCTAATGAAATTAAAGAAAATGATTTATTTATTATGCGAGATTTGGCCTGACATTCTTGCAAAATGTAAAGCCAATCGAGAAATCAATATTTTTATTAAGTAAATAATGCAAGAACAAAGAGAGGAAAACCTAAACCACCGTAAAAGAGTATCCTTTTGTGTTATGGTTTCAAAAGTTAGCAAAAATATCCATGGAAACTTAAAATACCATAAGGAACAAGTGTTAATCGTTTTTTACGTATTAAAAAGAAAGCAAAAGAAGAATTTCTTAAGAAAATTGCGTAAAACATACGAAAAAGCTTTTTGGAAAAAAAAAAATATTTTTATCATAGCTCCTGATTAAAAATGTTATCTTCGCAAAGTTATTATTCAATGATAAAGTCAGTTGAATGTCTTATATACTTGCAGTAAACAAAAAAAAAAAAAAAAAAAAAAAAACACAAAATATATATATATATACATAAATATATATATAGACGACAATAATACCTGCACACCTGTATGCCTATGTATATGAGACAGCTCGTTATAATAATAAAAATTAACAGTACGCAGATAATTAAAACAGTAGAGTAAAAAAAAAAGCTTAACAATATTTTAGTGATTTTATAACTTTGCGACAGGAAAGTTGTACAAGAGAGAAAGAAATTAAAAGTATATATTCTCTTCTTTCGTTCTTTTTTTTTTTTTTTTGTTTTGAAGTGATTCAAACCTAATTTTAAATACAATTTAAATTTTCCCTAGCATTTGGCAAAAAGAGTAAAAAATTCCACAGAATGGCTTTATACAGAGATTTACAATTGAACTCTGGCATGCGTTGTGCTAAATACATGCTATTGATCGTTAGTTTCATGTTTGCGGTAAGTACAAGGTTATCTGACAAGAATTTTCAAGATAACCCCAATTAAGTGAAAAACAAAAAAAAAAAAAGAAAAGATATATGAAAAAAGTCAATCCATTCCATCAGCTCGCCAGTAATCCAGTTCCAGAGACATTTCATCTTATTCTTTGCAAACCGTCAATTTCTGAAAAATTTCTGCTTCTTTCTTTCTCTCTTTCGCTCATGCTCTCACTTATGCGGCCACGTGCCCCCCAATGAAGAGGTGTTGGCATTGCATCGGCGATCGTTTCCGAATGATTTCATTGTATTGGTTGGAATGTAATAGTTTTTGTTAGCATTTTCAGATATCTGAATCTGTTTACTTCTTATCATTATGTTTTACACATTTGGGAATACGATAACGTTTTTATTTGTTTTAACTTCGTAGAAATGGTCGCAGAACCCTTTACTCTTATTTCATATGTTAAAAAGCACTTAATTGTCAGTCTTTGTTATTATCGTTATTGATTTAATGATAACGCAATATAATACTGTTTATTACCGAGCTTTCGGTAAAGTTTCCGAATGAATTTTTCTCGTAAACGTAATAACATTAAAGAATAGTTACGAGTGAATGCACTTCCTCCAAGACCCATTTCCAAACTGATTTCACCGCTTCTCTCTTCCTTCGTACACTTATCAGCACCCGTAAGAAGATTTCGATAGTAATTCATATCAAGTGAACATAAAGCTTCTGTAAGCTTCTATAAGGAGACAAGAATATAATATCGATTTCTTAGTGTGAAATAAAGCTAATTCTTATATACACCCTTATGATGGCGCCATAGATTTCCTATTGCCCGCCCGACACCATACAAAAGTACGCTGAACTCGAAAAAACCAAGAATTCAAAATCGACGGTGAACGACAGTTCCCTATTAAAGGTGTTGAGCAATTTTTTAAGTAAATATAATCACATTTCTTGGTACGTTCTTCTTTTAGTTGCTGTTGATAAGCAAAAGTTCTTGAAAATTCATTTAAAACACGAAAGCTTTACATAATGAATATAAAAATCAATTGCTTAACGGGCTGGCTGATCGATCAACTTTGAATTATCAAAAAGTTGTTTTCATATTTGATGGGAAGTTGCCATCAAGTGACATCTTCAATTCTCTTTACATTTCAATCGTTTCTTTTATCATTTTCTCTCTTACCATTCTTAAGTGGAAATCTTCAACTTTTAGAAGGATTTCTTCGAAAATAAGCTTTTTTGGCACATCAGAATTGCCTAGAAAATGTAAGTCTTTACCTTAATTTCAAAAATGAATGCTGGCCGGATTTAAATTTGAATAAAATTTTTTTAGTCCTTACTTGCAAGATTTTTAAGTTAGAGGAACTTGGAACATTGGTGATCTCTTATTTTTTTTTTAAATCATTAATTGCGTTTATTCTTTGTTTTCTTCCTCGTGAAAAGGAAGAAAAATATCAAAAAACCAGTGCATGCTGTAAAAACACTCAAAGAAGTCCATTAACAGAATTGAACTTATTTAAAGATCATTGTTGCTTAAACTATACCGAGATCATCAATACTGTGGCATAAAGTCTGAATGCACCATGCTGATGAGATCCCATGGTGATGAGAGTACCCTTAATGTTATTCAATATAATACAATCTTTCTTTCTTGAAAGTTCTTAATTAACGAATACAAATTTCTTATATGACTCCTTCTAGTCTATAAAGAATGTACCGTAATCGAGTATCTATTTAGCTGTTCAGAGTATTTTTAAGCACAAAACTGAAGCAAATTTCTATTGTGGGCATAAATGAGAAGCCTTCGGAGTCGTCCACATTGAAGGCTCAATCAAGAGTTTAACGAAATTTGGGGAATAGAAATGGCAACCCTAATGGAATTTAAAGATTTGCGGTCTTTGATGGCATGTTTTCTCTATTACACAATTTTTACTTGACCAAGCAATGTAACTATAATGCAATATTAGACATAAATCTCAGAAGTTTTCTTGAGATGGAAAATAAATACTCGAAAATGTGTCTTTTATATAAACAAACAAGTTTTGAACAAAACATTGATCGAACAGCTTGCAGGTACAATGTGAAAGCAGAATCATAAAAGTGTGTCTTCCATGCGTTCTACAATATCTTGGCCTTTTTTTATGATCAATCACTTAGTGGATGTGAGTGATAACATGGCAAAGGTCAGAAAGAAGTAGTGAAAAAGATTTGAGGCATTACTACCGGTTAGTAGATATGCGTTGGCCCCGCCTACTCAATATTTCGACGTAGCGAAGTTTAATTTTTTTTTTAATACTTTTATAAAGCACAGACGCAAGCTTCAAATATCCCAGAAACTCGAAATGCACTTAAGTACGTCCGTCTATCCATCTGTCCATTTATCCATTTGCCCAACTTTGCAGTATCTGTGATAAGCACTCTACCGTTCGGAAAATCAGAATATAACCTAAAAATTTGCAAAAGAATTTGAAAATGACTTAAACTTTTCAAAAAAACAGGCCACAAACAGACAACAAATACACCAAATGAATTTCAGTATGAAAAGGCACAAGTATGGAAATGTTTTTTTTTTTTTTTTTTTTTTTTTTTTTGTTACGATAACGATGATAGGTATGAAAAATTCGGTTACGATTGAGTCTGATTTTCTTAGTTGTTTTTTTTTTATTTTCAATTCAATTAGAATTTGAATACAGCTAAATTAAGCGAGAAATGGAAGAGATGGAAAACCACTGGAAATTTTCCATTGCCAATGAGAATCGAAATGGGAATAGACGCGAACATGCCAAAGCTTGGCAAATCGTTAAAACACCACATATTTATTGAGGGAAGTAGACGACTGTGTTAATTAATTGCCCGAGCAGTATTCACAATAGCCTTAGTGGTGTGCATTGAATCTAATAAGGAGATTAGATTATAAACGTCGATAGGGCAGAGACCATACTAGGAAAGCGTACTCAAACGCTCGCCTAATCAAAGTCATCCACAATTGTTTTGCATTATATATATATTTTGAAATTCTCTCGACCAACATTTAATAAAGCCAGGCGCAGGTGAATTTTTAATTTATTTAAACAAATGACAACAACAAGAGCATCAAAAAGTATTTTAAAAAGTATTTATGTAAAATACCAGCTGTTTCAGTTTTCACCAGAAGTATGATGTGTGCGTGCATGCTAGTCAACTGCTTAGAGCTGTTCTTCACTCGAATTTATAAATAGACCTGGAAGATATCTGTACCCGTTTTCTGGAATATCTCCAAAGAATCCGACATTGCTGATGAGAGCTGAAATTTTTCGTTTTTCCGAAGTTGTTTCAAGCTTTTCCTTAATAAAAGCATATTTTAAGTTAGCCACTCCTATTTTGTAAAACCATCTTTCAAACTGATACAAAAGTGCACCTCCTCACTCCCAACTTTTCAATGTATATATAAAAAACCTGTAGGTCTAACATAAAGTATCCAAAATATCACAATTATTCCTCGAAAGAAAACAAAGCTCTTTATATCCCACAACGCCTTTAGTATAAGATATATAAAGTTTGTGCAGATATATGTAACAGCCAGAAGGACTTGGGATAGACCCACGTTGTTAGTACATCGATCGTTTCATAATAATTTTCTGATATTATTTAAGCATGTCTGTCCGACAATCCACCTTGTCTTCTTGTGTTCAGCCTGGAGGCCATAATTTTTGAAATATTTCGATGAAAATTGGTACGACGGCGTGCTTTAATCCAAGGACGCACGCTATTGAGAATAATTCGGATCGGAGTATGTTTTCGACCACTTCGCACATAACCCCTTACTTGCAAAATTCGTTTCGTGAATAACTGTAGGATGGTATAGGATATTTCATAGCAAGCCAAAGCCCATTTTAATGTTTTTATTCGTTTTTTTCGTTTAGCTTCGGGTCCGCAAATCCTGATAACCTTTCGTACACAATGTCAGCCTGAATTACACGCCGGTAATTTGGAAGGAGTTAAGTTCGTAGAAAATAAGTCAAGCTTGTGGAAAAGTTTTCTTAAATTCGATGAGAGATTTGAAAAAACAAATTGGGTTAGATCGAATACCAGTATTCTGTAATGTTTATTGTATACGTAATTATCTCTAACGAGAGTTTATTCATCGCAATATTAATAAATTTTGAACAATATTTACTCCATTCGACAAAAAACAACAACAAAACAAAGAACTTTGCGTCAATATCGATGCTGTCGCTGACAGTGTTGAAGAAGATCCAAATAGACCATTGTCAGCACGTCTTCATAGCTTGCAAGGCCTTCTTACGATTATCAATCTTTTCATGACCAATTCACTAAGATTAAAAGAGAAAAAAAGGTCGTCGTATACTCCTCGGGAATTTGATCATCCTAAAGGAATAACCATTAGACGGTCTTTAAGCGAATTCCTATCACATATGTACTAAAAAAATTACTAATTTCCCTTAATGGCGGAAGCGTATGGAGAAATAGTTTTAAATGGAAAGCAAACTTTGTCTGAAAAACATAATAAAAATTCTAGCTTTGGCATTGTCGAACTTAAAGGTTTTTTTTTCTTGATTTTTCCATTGTTTTTCCAGATCACTGCCATTTTATTGGTTATGGTCGGCAGCACAATTCAAGCGATTTTTGGTGATTTCCGACAATTCGTTGATGATCATTTCTTGTCACCCCCAGCGCTCTTGATAGCAATAGGCTTTATATTATTGTTCGTAGCCACGTTAGGAGCTTACGGTGCTGCAAGGGAGAGTGTTATGCTTATTAACTTAGTAAGTCTATCTTAAATAACTTATTCGAGAGAAGATCTTATTAATTACAATGAATACAATGAATATTTTCAGTACGGTCTTTGTTTATTTATCGTTTTTATATTGGAAGTTTCTGCCTCATTAGCAGCTTTTATTATGCAAGGGCAAGTGCGTGAAATGTTGATTCGTACTATGAATGAATCGTTAGCTGAATACGAGGATAACCCATACATACAAGGAGGCGTTGATTTTATGCAAAGCGGTTTAGAGTGTTGCGGCGTGAATGCCCCAGACGATTGGAGTAACTATTGGAAACCAAATATCGGTAATAGTGAGGAGATACCTGTGCCGCCGTCTTGTTGTGGCAGCTTTTCACCCAACAATCTTATGCATTGCGAAATGATGTATGAGAGCGGTTGTTTGGAACGCATGGATTTCATCATATCCCAGAGTACCATGCTAATAGCGACAGGTGCAACTACAGTGGCTTTTGTACAGGTATCTTTTGTTAGTATTATATGTTCATCTACAAACTTTTACATTCCTACTTCAGCTGTTAGGTTCGATTTGTGCCTTCATGTTGGCAAAAACTTTGAGACGCAATAAATCTATTCGTGAGGCTAGACGCTGGCAATTACAACAAAGTTTGGGCGTTTTAATATCTGGCGGCAAGATGGTTCCGCCCTCGAATTCACCCATGACGGGTTATACGCAATTGGAAAAAGCTGAAAAATTTTCAGAGAACGATCCCATCACTTATACGCCCAACAGTCCCAGTGTTAATTAAATAAAGTTTGGGAGAAGAAAGGTGTGTGAGTGTTAGATTTAAAAACTGAAAACTCTGTTTAAATTTCATATATTTATCTGATTAATAAAAATATAATAAAGCTTGTTTGTTTAATCGCCAAAAAAATCATTAGTCTTTCTTGAGATTAGTTACGAATTCCTTTAACAAATTGATTTGTTTTTGCACGCTTGTAGACGCAGTACCTCCTGTAACGTCATATTGCTCAACTATGTCTCTGAAATCCGCCACGTTTGCTATATCCCTGTCAATGTAAGGACATATATTTTGCAATTCCTCCAAAGGAATTCCAGTAATGTCCGAAGACTCTCGTTTAGCAAAAGCTATCACATTTTCTATATACTGTTGACCTTGAGATGGAGGTATTCCTTTTTTTGCCAAATAGTAAACCTAGTGAACAAAAATGAAAGAAAACATGAAACCAAACAAGTTAGAAAGTTACATTCGACTGGGGCCGAATCTCGCCTATCCACCGCTATGCGTTTCGCGTTCTACTCTTCATGTTCGCTTATTTGATACCCGCATCGCTGGTATTATTAAGAAAAAATTAGTCGCGGTATCGACCATATTCATTTTAAAATTTACCCATTTTTAGGCAGATAATATATCTTCATTGGAGGAGTGTACAAACCAATTTTAAACGTTCTGTCTTGTTCGCCTTAAGATAAATAAGCGTTAAACTTCAAAGAAGTGAAAAAAAATTAAATTTCGTAAGTTTGTGCGGACATGGCTAGTTGGTTCCACGGACCTAAAGAGTAAAGTGTTTCGTAAAGTAAATGTGGAAAGTTTCAGCTTACTAACTTTGGTAATTGCTGAGTAACGAGCAAAAACCCAAAAATTTTCGTTAAAAAAAACTGAGTTACGTTCAGTTCACGCTCCCCCGTGCGCTTCTGCTCTGACCAATTTCGCCCATTTTCAATAGCAAGCTGCGGGCAGAAACTTTCAAAGTTTCTATCAAATTTGAAATGGATATCTTCAGTTTTGCGGCCAGGAGAATGCTAAAAACATACTTCGCACAAACACACACACACACACACACACACAGATGGACAAACATGGCCAAATCAACTCAGGATTTCACGCTGATCGAAAGCATAAATACCCTATAGAGTCTCTGAAGTTTTCTTTTTGATGGTACATACATACATTATGGAAAAAGCAAAATGAGAGCAAATTGAGAGACAAAAAAAAAATTGAAAACCTACCCAATCTGCAGCTAGCATCTCAGGGCATAACTTAGCTTCCATTTGCGGCGGGTTTATCTTCAAACCCATTAAAGCACTTGCGGTTATTTTTAAAGCTCCCTGCAGCGCGTCAAAAGTTTCAAAGCAATATCGCTTATCATACTGCCAATCTTTATGACAAGAAGTACGCAAATTCTTTGTAGTCATCATTATACCCGTCAGACAAGCACAAATTTGTACCGAAGCACCACGCACCAGTTCCATACTACTTGAATCACTCTCCAGTCTATTGCTTTTTGCGGACGGTTCGGACAATGTGAGGAAATCAAACTCTTTAGTAGTGTATATAATGAATTCCTCTGCTAAACCGGAAAGATGTAAACTCAGCATGGAACTGCAGTAAATGAAGTTCACTTTCGTTGCGAGAACATAGAATAATTATAAGCAATTAAAAATCAGATAAATGTATGTTTCTTCACTTACCCATAAAATCGCTGTCTGCCACAGCGTGTAAACTATTCGTTGTTACTGATGTAAAACCTAAACGTTTCGCTAGCCACACACGATCAATGTGGAAAGGATTTCCAGCCACAGTCCCACTACCTAATGGTGAAACAAGTAACAACTTTTCTTGCTCTTTTAGACGTAAATAATCTTCACGCAAAATCCAGGCATAAGATAGCAGCCAATGAGAAAATTGAACAGCCTGAACTCTTTGTAAGTCGATAGAAGCCGGCATTAAAACACCCAAGTGATGCTCGGCTTTTTCCAAAATCGCTTCAATGCAGCGTTGTACGCGTACCAGCAATTCGTTTATAGCTTTACGTAACCATAATTTCATATCAGTTAAAACTTGTTCGTTACGACTACATCCGCTATTTAAATATTGTCCCACTTCGCCTATGATTTCCGTTAAGCGCCTTTTGTTTATTGTATGAACATCTTTATCGGTAGGAGAAAACTTCAACAAGCCTTCTATCCAGTCATAACGTACCAATTCAAGACCTGCTAAAATGGAAGAACATTGTTCGTTGGTCAGGCAGCCAGCTTTCCGTAAAGCTTCAGTGTAAGCTTTACTAACGTCAAGATCGTCAGCAAATAAACGTGAATCATGCGGTGAAATACAGCTGCAGCGCAGGTTTTGTGATACGAAAAATTTCTCTCGCAAAAGTTGGGCCATATCTAGAGATGATGTTTTACGAAATAGCAATTGTTGTTTTCAGTTTCAGATGAAAACCACAACTAGTTCTTTTTTCCTATAACTTGCATGCAATTGCATTATTCCATTGTTCGTTTTCTCGAATGATGCGAACGTCATTACAATGACTTCGCATAGATATAAATGCTTTTCTATACAGATAGATAAACTGAAATAATGTTAGATCACGAAAGACATCTGTTGAGATTGTAAGGAAGATGGTTTCATCGCAATTGATTTATTTAGTTTGCCACGGCAGTTCGTAGACCACATAAGCCATACAAAATTTGCAGAACTAAAACTGTTTGCTTTTATTGCCGACTGTGCTCAGTATTACTAAATATACTCTTGTCATTGTCATAACAAAATTAAAATTAAACTTTTAAAATTTGTCCTTCCATCCGTAATTTTTTGACTGATTCATGTATTGAACACATATTGCGCAACGCGCTGTGTCAGCTTTATCAGTTGATTATCGTCTCAGCAACATTCTTCCTATTCTGTCGAGAAGTTTTTCAACGCTTCTAAGAATTTTCTACGCAAAGTACAGTCATGGCGTTAATAGCACTAAGCTCAAGCTTCGTCCATAGTAAGATAAGGGAAAAAAAGTTAAATTATTACATTGGTTTCGGTCTGGCGACTTTCAAGTTTGTTAAGTTTTTTTGACAAAATCGCAGTCAGTGTGTGAAAGCCCGCTTCTCTTTCACTCTGGTGTGCAATGTACATTAAGGTTCCAATTACATGCTGCCAAAAATGCAATATTCATTTACGCTGATGATACTCAAAGGAGGTAAAACGAAGATTATTGTGATATAATCCAATACTTATGATTCTGAGGCTCTATCGATATTGCCAATGAAGTCGCTAATATTGTATTCGTCCATTATGAAATGTCCCTAAGATTTGCAGTTATTCGCCTCGCGATTGGTTATGGGACCAACGTAAACCGTAAATCGCTAATATTGTATTTTTTCCTTTATGAAATGTCCCAAAGGCGCGTTGCCAACTGTTTGGAATGGCTTGCTCCCCTACATCATATTTTTTCCATGTATTAATGCTATTCTATTTATTTACAGTTAAGTTCCATAGCTGGTTAATTTATTTGCGCCTTGAACGGGTCTTGTAATGTATATCGAACACAACAACAAAAATTCGGCCGTGATAGCTGAAGCCGATATATTAAGTTCATTACAGGTCGCGGTGATAATTAGATAATTATTTGAACGGCATTTTCTCAGACTTTGGCCGCTCATAATAGGACCCTCTTTTTTCAAAGCGATACAATCTCGCAATCGATACAGACGATACACTTGGAATTTCCCTCGAATTTCCATGTGCACACTCCTGTAGAAATAATTGATATATATACTACAAACTACACATTCTTCATTCTATATCACACATACATGCATTCAGACTTTGCTTTATTTTAAAAAAAGAACAATAATTGAATGGTGTGAAGGTAAATTTGAATTTAACTAACAAAGATACCTACAATATCTGTTAGCAAAACTCTGTTAACGCCTTACCTGAGTTCTGTTAAATAATGAAAATTAAGAAATAGTTGGATTTGAACCCCTATTCGGTCCATATTAAAAAACGTAAAACATTTTTGTGGACGTCTCGTGAAACAATATGAAAATACCTTCAAACAAACTAAACAAATTCAAATTCTACTTATGGGAACTATTTTTGAAAAATTTTTGTGAAATTTGATATATTAGCGAAAAATGGATATGGAAGAACAACCGAAATTGAGACTCTGATGCGGCCAAACGAGAAAATGTCACCTATATTCACCTCTATCAAGTAAATTTAGGGAGAGACGTGTATTCTTCTATTCCTATTTCTACTTCTACTGCGCCTGCGTCCGCTACAGCTGTCGTTTTCACCCTTTTTGAGCAATATTAGTTGCACATTTAAATCGATCCGGAGATCGATTTAAAATATTTAAGGGAACCTTGGCTGGAATCAAAAAAATTTCATACCGATTTAGTTGACTCGATTCATTACATTAAAAAATGTTCGTGAACTCGTCACCGCAAATGTATCCTTACTTGGAAGTATACGAATTAACATTCTTTAGATTTCGCACTGAATAATTATTGCGGTATCCTAAAAAGGGGTAGTAATCATTTCTTTATCCATTTAATTACCATTTGAGGAAATGACTTTTGAAATGAGTTAGCCCATAAGCTAATCGATTTTCTAAGAATCCAGGTTGTAAAAATAATAAAACCAAATACACATTTGTGATGCAGCAACTTCGCGGCACCGATGGACATCGCTGCGTCCGGCGAGCGCGCTTCATTCAGCGACTGCGCTGTACCTAGGGACTGCACTGCGCTTAAGAACTGCGCTTCATATAACGACGCTGCACCTAGTTTCTTCGCTGCACCTAGGAACGGCTCTGCATTTCGCGGCTGTGGTATTTCCCTCTTTTCTTTATATTTCTTTTTTCTGGCAATTTTTCGCTCGATTTAAATTTTTCAGCAAGCTCTTTGCGTCCTTGTAAAAACGTCTTTGCTGCCACACAAAACCGTTAACTGGTGTTTCCCTTTACTTACATTATAAAAAAAGCACCATGTGTGGAGAATGGTGAGAGCACAGAGTTGTTTTCAATTAATTGCAACGTTTCGATTTTGTTATAGCGTGAGATGTGAAGATGCGAAGAACCGATTTCTGTCTCTTAAAATTTGAGAATAGTAAAGGACGAGTGGAAGGACAAGGAGTAGACAAGCAATTTTTTCGTCGCTCTCGCCCTATTTAGATAGGATAGAAAGCCGTACATATGCTGAACGAAAAGCTGAACAATCAGAAATTTATATATTTCTTTTTTATTTTAATAATTTTTATTTTAAAATATAATGGTTATTCCAGCTGTAGTGTTAACAACACTTCGTAAGGCATTTATGATTTTTATAATGTCATCCATAATTTTCATTTGACATGGATGTAAGAATGCTGACACAGCGTCCGATACCTGCTTCTAGTGTCTACCACAGAAAGCTTGCCAGCCTTATCATCTTTTCTTACATGCAATGAGCGTAATGCTTTTTTAATATTTCTATCATTTCTTGATATGGGCGCGATAGCAGCTTCTGTTTCGTCGTAGAATTTCTTCAACGCAACTCTAAAGCCGTTACCCTTTCGCGCATTAATACTTTTTGTTCTAAATAAATACAACACAATATTTTAAAACATAAAACAGAAAACAATAGGATTTTATGTGATTTCAATTATATGTTACGGTATATACTTTGGTTTGGACCAAATAAATGCCTCAAAGACAAAACTTGTACAAGAAAGTAATTTATAGGAACTAACAAGAAATGTTCTAAGTGAGAAGGAAATCACCATTTGCTAATTGGTTTTAAAGAGATTGGTTAATTCGCAGCACAAACGATGCAAAGGTAAGCCCATAACGCAATAATAATCACCATCAATGCGAGATATTAAAGCGCCACCGGGACCTTGTACCCCATAAGCGCCTGCCTTGTCCCTATGAAACATAAAAATGAAAACGTGTAGTGAAACAACAAAATTTGGATCCTTACATGGGGTCGCCCGATTCCACATAAGCATTTATTTGTTCTTTACTGAGATTACCAAAATACACATCAGCCGTTTCAGTAAATTTGTGCACGCCCTTTGAATGTTTTATTACGACACCAGTAAACACACGATTGCAATTGCCAGAGAGACTGGAAATGTTACAGAAGAATCAATAATAAGACTATCTACTAAACTATCGTTACAACTTACTTAGTCAACATGCGTACAGCGTCTGTTTTATCTTTCGGTTTGCCATAGATTTCCGAACCCATAGTTACCTAATATAAAAAAAGAATAAAATAAATTAATAAATAAAATAAAGTAATAAAAAATATTAAAAATTAATGCAAAAGATTATACAAATGACTAGAAAAACTTTCACAAAAATGGCCACAAAAGAAAGTACTTACCATAGTGTCAGCCGCTATAACCAATAAATCTTCTTGATTATCGCCAATCTTTAAGCGATTGTAAACTTCTTCGGCTTTACCCAAAGCGGTAGCTTCTATAAATTTGGAAAAATTCTCAAAATCATAAGGATTCAGCATCTCCTCGAAATAGGAAGGACATAGTTCCGCATTTAACCCCTAGAGCAAAATTTCAAAAGTAACAGAAAGATATCAAAATTACTTTTCAACACTGTATTACAAGCTTACTATAAACTTCACCAACTCCTGCCGTCTTGGCGAACCGCTTGCTAATATTATACGTTTTTTTGAGAGCAAATACTGAATGGGAGCCAACATATTTTTGCTTTTGTTTTGTTTGCAAATCGAGATAGATGTGATCAGTTAGAAATTATTTTTTTTAAAGAATCAAAGTGAAAATTTTTCTTCTTTTTTTGAATTTTTTCAATAAATGTCACTTGTTTATCAAAAAAACAAAAAAAACATCAAAAACTTCATAATGATTGAATTTGAGAAACAGCTGTTCTTAGAGAGACAGCGAGAGAATTTAGATATATATTTTTTTTTTGTATTGACAGTGTTGCATTTACTCAGTAGTTTCTGTCGTTTTGGTTAAATCGTCTATGATTTTTGACACATTATACGTTATGTTTGATTTTTCTTTGTAGGGAGGGCGTTATATAAAAATATATGTATTAAAGAGATATATTAAGTTTCATTTGAAGGAAAATGAGCAGAAAAAAAGCTAGCAAAAGTCTGAGAGTAAGCATGTCAAGGATCCTCAAACCATTGTAAACGTGCGCGATTAATATATGTCGAACTTTTTGGAACGTTCGTAACAATTAGTTCTTCATGCATAAGTTTTCCACTACTTTTGAGAGCTTTTCGCACTTGACGTCCTTGGTAAAATAATGAAATTAATGATATCTGCTTGCTTCATTGATCTATCAGAAAAGATAATATTCCTGCTGAACGAAATGCTTACAAATGTCTTTTTGCAGATAATATTATGATATTCTTATATTTTTAAGATAAAACTATTAAGGAGCAAACGATACTTAATCCAACTTTGTAGAATGTAAAATTCTGTGAATACACGACAATGGGAAAATAATGATTTGAAATTTGTGCAAAATTATTTAATAATTTTATATGTCACATTTTTGGAAAAATCTTTTGTGTAAAGAAGTTATCAAAAGCAAATTTTTCTACTTTTTTGACAGAGCTGTGTTGATTACGTCAGTATGGTAAATGAACATACAACAGTATGAAATTTTAAACAATTTGTAGAATTTAAGAAAGATGTAGAGTAGTTTTAGAAATTGGTAAAAAAAATGAAGATTATTTGAATAAACTGTTTTTTTAAATCTTTCTTAAATGTGTTTGTAAATCATGGGTGTGTATTTTCTGCTTCTTTTCTTTTGATAAAAAGGAAAGGAAGGCAAAGGAAAAATCAATTCTTGCGAAAATCCAATAATATTTTTTGGAAAAGTTTCTTTTCGAAATAGATTTAAAATTACTGAACTTAATATATTTATCACAAGCTTTCTTTCTAACTATTATTGTAAGTAAACTAAATTCATAGGCTTTAATATAGAATTTTAAAGTGTATGTTCCACTATTCTTAAATTACATATATTTCGTGCATTTCTTTTAAAATCTGTACACGAAATATCAAAGTTCTGTAAATTTTATCATCTGAAGTAATTTCCTCAATATGAGTTGTTCCAAATGATTTAATTATGTTTTGTACAATAAAAAATATTTGCATTGCATCTACGATTAAATGCAAATCTTTCAAATTGCTTTCCAGCTAAAGGAACACTAAAATATTTTTTGATAAACTTTATTTTTGATTTTCGAGATATTTTCTTCTCTTTATTTTATACTTCTGTAATCCCTTCTTTATACATTACAATATTTTGCCTTACCTTATTTGTACTTTAGGAGTTACTATTTTAAATAATCTGATAATCAATGTTCATCTCGGATCAAATTGTTTTTGTTGCTTATATTTTGTGTTAATTTTATAGCAAACATAATTAATGTGAATATTTCTTTTTAGGTGGAAAAATTTTACAACTCTGTGTATTTTTTACCAAACAGCAAGAATTGAAAAGAGACAGAAATGATATATATATTTATAAAGTTGTTTTAATTCTCTTTTACTGTCATTTTCATTTCGTCAGTTTAGTTCATTTGAGTAATTCACAACGAGTGTTTTGTATTAATTCAACATAGCGAAGAGAGTTCATATATACACTTGGCGATTTCTTTCAAGTCCAATTTAAATTAGCAATTTGATAAATTCAAAGAATTTGCCAGAAGTATATCGAGAATTTCGTTACGTTTTCGAAGGGAAAAAGATTATTCGCGATCGCTTTTAAAATATTGCCAAAAATTGTTTTCTTTTAAATAATTATTGAAATTATTAAAATCTACATTTACGTGTGCCAGGGAGTGTATGCATATTTCTGTTACAAAAGTGAGGTTATAAAATCAGGAAAAAACCAGTATAAATCACGGCCGAGTTCTTTTATAATTGCCTTCACGTTATTTAATTTAAAAAATATCAAGTGCTTTTTTTTTGAGGTTTTGTCATCCCTTTGCTTATTTCACATAAGAGTGAAAAAAATTGAAAGAAAAATCAAATAGTAACTAAACTGACTAAAGTAGTAAGCAAGTGTGTTTCATTTAAAGCAACAAAAAGAAGGGGAGAGCAACATCGGTGCAGTTTGTGTGAAAATTTTCATTTGGATTTTCACAACGCCCAACTCGTTTTAGTCACTCTCAAATGTGTATGGCTGTTGTGGTAAGTGCGAGCATACAAATAATAGGTCTAAACAAGAAAATATTTGTTTACTTTTTAATAGTAATAATAATTGTTTTCATACTTGAAATATACTTAAGGTTCAAAAGTATGTCTTAAACGATTTCACAAATATTTTTGTTAATTCTTTCTTCAGGTTATTACATTTTTCGACAAATTTGAATATTCATTTCTCGTATTTCTTTGCTTTACAAATTTCTACTTTCATCATCAGTGTTGTTAATTACGTTTAAGTGAAAAAGCGCTGTGAAACTTTTACTCATTCATTATTCAAATACTTTAATGGCAATTATTACAAGTGGAAATATTTTTCATTTTCATATTATTTTTACATTATTACATTTCACACTTGCTGGTAGAAATAAACTAATTAAGATAGCTGCGCCATTTACTTAACATATATCAATTATAATGGTTTTTTTTAAGTTTTAAAATTGTGGAAAATTTTTGAAGGAATTAGATGAGATGGGTCACTCAGTTCAATCTTAGGAAAAATACCGGCAAAGTTCATCCCCGCTGATAATGTGTATGGGTGTGTTTTTCATTAACAAGATATACATAAGTTTTGATCTGCCATGGATTTGGTTTTTTATGCTACCTTACACACCTTTTAAATATTTAATGACTACATAAAATTTAACGCATTTAAAGCATTTAACATTTTTGTAACTAATTACGAAGAAAGGCATCGTTAATGTGTATGTGTGTGTATGCTTGTTTGTGATAACCTCACTTGCATTTATAATATGTATAAAAAGCGGGCCTTATTAACAAGATTGAACGGAAAAGTCCAAATTGACAACACTTGTTCCCTTATTCTTATCGTATACATATTCACATTTAGTTAAATTAGTTATTTTCGTACGTTGTTAGAATGTGCGTTCATACTAAACAGGAGAAGCAGCAGCAACATGAGTTTGTCATTTTCTATTCACACTTCAACCCCTGTTCCATGCAGACTTATTCAATTCTATTAGTTAGGTGTTCAGTTAGTATAGACGCCTTGTAGAGAAGTGTCCGGATGCGTTGGTATTTTCAATTTTTTCGTTTAATTCTAAAGATTTTTCTTTCGATAAGTCAGTATGCTAGATTTTCCTCTTTCTGAATATGAACTTGTAGAAATGACTATCTTTGTAAATATTGAATGTAATGTATTGTTGTGCAAAAACGTTAATTATGATGATGGTTTGCCTGCATGCTAATACGTACATATGCAATAGATGCACATATACTTATATACATTTTTTTTTTTTTTTCTTTTGTAGCTATAGAATTTCATTTAATTTATTGCTCTGTTTTCTTCTTTTTTTTTTCTGTCATCATTCTATTCGTCTATATATGCGAACGAAATATACGAATATGTTTAGTAGGCGTGTGTGTTGCTGGCGTCTTTCTCCGGTCCTACGCTTGTGTTTGTATATATAAATATTTTAATAAATGACGTCATATCTGTATTTATTATTGTGTTTCGAGGTGTATAACCAGTTTCATATAATTATCTGTAAAAGTAATATGAAATTCATTGAATAAGTCGAAGTATTTTTTTTTTTTTCTCAAGAGTAAGTGAATAGAAATTGGCAATTTTCTATGGTTCTTTCATATTTTGTCTATCACTCACTAACTATCTTGATTTCTTAGACTGATTTCTTCTTTATCTTTATGTTGTAAGATGTATTTTCTAAAGTTACAAATGTTAGTATATGTTTAAAATGTTTTTTTAAAAGTATTTAAATAATATTATCTTTTTACGGCAAACAATCTCAATAGGTACGATTTCTGATTTTCGCAAACTATTTAGATTATTCCATATAAATGTCTTCACTCAGAACAACAACAGACACCAGTTTGTAAAACTTCTCAAAATTATTTGCTTTCAAGAACGGGTACACAATAATCAAGTAGTCTCGGCAGTAGATTCCTTACATGATTATTACTAAACAGCGATACAATATGACTTAGCAAGTAATCGTAAAAATTGTCTGCAAATAGGAATTTACAAGCGTAATTTTTTCATAGCCTAAACTAGTTACAGTGCAAAATAGATAAATTTCCTCCAACTCAACTCATCTTTTATTATATCGATCATTTTCTAAATCGATTGAAGGTTATTTGTCTGCCTGATGTCTGTTCGTATGTATTTGTGTACAAACTGCAGAACGCAACCTTTGACGAATTTTGAGGGAATTTGGCATATTGACTTGGTTTGGGGGATGCTCGGATCACTTTTCGACCGCTGCCCATATAACGCTTTATTTTAATAATTCATTAGATAAAAGAAATTTGCAATTTTTAAAAATTCTCGTTTACTATCCGGCGTGGATGTGGACATATTTCAAACGGATTTTTTTTTGAATCGTTTTATATAACCGCTCCTAAGAAAAGTGTCCATTTATGGAGCAAAAACGTGTCATTTTTTAATATTTTATGATGAAACCTGATCAATAATATTAATCTACAATAAAAATAAATTCTACTAAATTTGGATAACGTAGTCGTACCTTTTGAGTTCTGAAGGAAAAAAAATTTTTGTATAGCAAAAAAGTCTAAATAGAGAAATCAGGATAACAAAATTGAATTGGCTGAATTCACATTACGTCAGTTCACGGTTGGGGCCTCTTCCCATCTATGCTTGATTTATGGTATTTTATTGCTGAATATTTGTGTTAGTAGTTTATGAATGACGGTGGGACGTTTAATAGCCGGTTTTGATTTTCTGACTACTTTCTAAGAAGAGAGAGACGAGAAACTCTACAATTTACCCCAATTTAATTACAATAAAGTAGTAACGAGTCTCAATTTGTGAGGAAAACTAATATTGCTTTTCTCTTAAGTAGCTGCGTACACTGAAATTCTAAAATCTGCCACATTCAATTGGCTTGAAATTGAGAATAGGAGTATCGAAAAAAAGAACCTCAAGATGAAGAAGTGTCGCTAATGAAGAATAGGTTACCGGTAATAATACGAATTGGAAAAGTTTCGCGAAATTCTATTCATTAGATACTTTCGGCTAATCAGCATTTGACAAATGCGAAATTCTCAAGGTGACAAAGTTTCGTATATAAGATCTTTATCCGGCTTTGGTTCTCTCGCTATCCATTTTATATATAAAGTCACTTGTGTGGATGATTGTTTCACGCGCACTTCCTTTTGTTTTGTCTAATGTGACCAATCACCCTGTGGATGTCCCCTAAACGTGTAACACGGTGACAAGAAAGAAGTGAGAAAAGACAAAGAGAAAGGTTAGAACCGTAGCCTAGAGAGTGCGTGTTATGTCTTTACCAACAAGGCGATGACCCAAGTTAGCTCTACCGCATCGACATTTGAAGCAGTGAACACTGACTTGGTTGTCGCTTTTCTTATCCACCTTCCTCCTGCTACGCTACTACACTCTCGATGGTATCGTTCACACCACGCGAGATCCTTAAACTATTAATCCGTTCAAACAGGTCTGCGAAAGACTTAACAAATAAATATAAATAAAATTTACTATTACTTCACCCAACTGTTACAATGGGATGGTATAAAATACCACCAGCTTAGTTTGACTATAAACGGGTCGATTTGGTGATAGTAGTGGTTTGGTTTTATACAGATAATAACTCTTAGATGATGCATTGTTTCTATAGACGGCACTAGCAGGTTTCTTGCAATTTTGGATAATAAAGGAAAAATGGGAATTGTGTGTGCATGTGTACGCAGGCATTTAACTGACTATTAAACCGACGGAAGTGGGGTTTTTAAGTCCCAGTAGACTTTTTGCTATCGGTAGGATAATTTCAATATAAAAACAGAAATCAGGAAAAATGGGAATTGTGTGTGCATGTGTGCGCAGGCATTTAACTAACTATTAAACCGATGGAAAAGAGGGGTTTTTAAGTCCCAGTAGACTTTTTGCTATCGGTAGGATAATTTCAATATAAAAACAGAAATCAGGAAAAATGGGAATTGTGTGTGAATGTGTACGCAGGCATTTAACTGACTATTAAACCGACGGAAGAGAGGGGTTTTTAAGTTCCAGTAGGCTTTTTGCTATCGGTAGGATAATTTCAATATAAAAACAGAAATCAGGAAAAATGGGAATTGTGTGTGCATGTGTGCGCAGGCATTTAACTAACTATTAAACCGATGGAAGAGGGGTTTTTAAGTCCAAGTAGGCTTTTTGCTATCGGTAGGATAATTTCAATATAAAAACAGAAATCATTTCACCTTTTTATGTTTACCGAATATTTATAATTTCTCAAATGCTTATATCCATGTGCTAAAGACGTTTGCCAAATCTCCCTGCTACGTCGGTTGTAAAAAGAAAAGATAATTGTTTACAATAAATGCCTATACGACTTATGATGTCTTGGATAAATTTACACACAAGTCAAATAAAAAAAAACGCTTTCCGTAGCCGTGCGTGCGGTATATAAATAAAGAAATAAAAGCAAACTTTGGCGCCTCCATTTTTAAAACAACTCTTTTTCTGCAAAAAAAAAACAAAAAAAAACTCTACAATACTAAAGTATAAAGGTATACTAAATATGTCTGTGCATTTATGATATGCAAAAGTGCATTGCGCATAGACTTCATATAAATCAAATCTTCTCTGAATTAATCTGTTAAGGGGAAATGGAACTAACTAAAAATGGAACAAACAACTGACAATAATAGTCGCGATAAAGGCATTAGATATATTGCATATGCAGCACAGATATCGGTCGAGTATGCAAGATTCGCTCTCAACTATGCATACTTCATTTCCTTGTTTATGTTTGCTACAGTAGTGGCTGACTGGCATCTCTGATTCACTGAGTGATTGATTGGATTGCTTGGTTGGTTGGTGTTTGCAGGTTTAATATAAACTTGTTGGTTATTTGAGTTCATCAAATATCTTTCCAACTTCTTTCTTTCATTTTTTTTCTTTGTTTTCTTTTACTGATAACAAGTTTTTGTTTAGTCTACTGGAGTCGTGTGTCATTAAAGTGCTTATTCATATT